GAGCAGGGGGACCTTGCGGGCGCTGCAGGATTTCAGTCCTTCACGGCGTAGTGTGTTACCAATTGTTTTCTTGGTGACTATGGTCCCAGCTGCCTTGAGATCATTGACAAGATCCTCCCGTGTAGTTTTGGGCTGATTCCTCACCGTTGTCATGATCATTGCAACTCCACGAGGTGAGAACTTGCATGGAGCCCCAGGCCGAGGGAGACTGACTGTTCTTTTGTGTTTCTTCCATTTGCGAATAATCGCATCAACTGTTGTCACCTTCTCACCAAGCTGCTTGGCGATGGTCTTGTAGCCCATTCCAGCCTTGTGTAGGTCTACAATCTTGTCCCTGACATCCTTGGAGAGCTCTTTGGTCTTGGCCATGGTGGAGAGTTTGGAATCTGATTGATTGATTGCTTCTGTGGACAGGTGTCTTTTATACAGGTAACAAACTGAGATTATGAGCACTCCCTTTAAGAGTGTGCTCCTAATCTCAGCTCGTTACCTGTATAAAAGACACCTGGGAGCCAGAAATCTTTCTGATTGAGAGGGGGTCAAATACTTATTTCCCTCATTAAAATGCAAATCAATTTATAACATTTTTGACATGAGTTTTTCTGGATGTTTTTGTTGTTATTCTGTCTCTCACTGTTCAAATAAACCTACCATTAAAATTATAGACTGATCATGTCTTTGTCAGTGGGCAAACGTACAAAATCAGCAGGGGATCAAATACTTTTTTCCCTCACTGTAAGGAAAGCTGCGGTGTGGAAGAGGATGAAGTATCTTTGATTATTTCAAGATCCTCACATGAAGGAAAGTGTTGAGACTGTTGTTGAGACTGTTGTTGAGACTGTGGTCTTCAAGTGTTTATTTGTCAGGATCCTTTGTTTCTATTCCTATACTTACTCCTTGTGGTACTAAAGCTTTATGTTCCTGTCAGCTCTCTCCTCTTCTGCTCGGCTCTATTTTTAAAACCTGGGGATACAGCTTCCTGTGAAGGGAGGAAGGGAAGGAAAAGAGGAAAGGAGTGGGTTGGTAGGGTGATTAGAGAGATGTATGCTTCTGATGGAGGTCTCTCCATCCAGTTTGTACTCAGCTGGACTGTGGTGACCTCAATACAAAGGTTAATGTTGAGGCTTCTCCTCAAATGACATGCACTGTGTGTGTGTGTGTGTGCATGTGTGTGTGAGTGTGTTTGTGCGTGCATGCATGCAGTCAGTCTGGATCCACAGGTTCCAAGGTGAGAGAGAAACCTGCAAACCTGACAGACCGATCGCTCTTCTTTAAACAGTCCCAGCACCCCGGGCAGTCTCTTTCTTACTACATACAGTGCATTCGGAAAGTATTCAGACCCGTTGACTTTTTCCACATTTTTAGAATTTATTTGCACATTTATATTTACATAACTATTCAGAACCTTTACTCAGTACTTTGTTGAAGCACCTTTGGCAGCGATTACAGCCTTGTGTCTTCTTGGGTATGACACTACAAGCTTGGCACACCTGTATTTGGGGAGTTTCTCCCATTTTTCTCTGCAGATCCTCTCAAGCTCTGTCAGGTTGAATGGGGAGCGTCGCTGCACAGCTATTTTCAGGTCTCTCCAGAGATGTTCGATCAGGTTCAGTCCGGGCTCTGGCTGGGCCACTCAAGGACATTCAGAGACTTGTCTCGAAGCCACTCCTGCGTTGTCTTGGCAGTGCTGCCACCACCATGCTTCACCGTAGGGATGGTGCCAGGTTTCCTCCAGACGTGACGTTTATCATTCAGGTGCCTATTGGCAAACTCCAAGTGGGCTGTCATGTGCCTTTTTCTGAGGAGTGGCTTCCATCTGGCCACTCTACCATAAAGGCCTGATTGGTGGAGTGCTGCAGAGATAGTTGTCCTTCTGGAAGGTTCTCCCATCTCCGCAGAGGAACTCTGAAGCTCTGTCAGTGACCATCGGGTTCTTGGTCACCTCCCTGACCAAGGCCCTTCTCTCCCGATTGCTCAGTTTGGCCGGGCGTCCAGCTCTAGGAAGAGTCTTGGTGGTTCCAAATTTCTTCCATTTAAAAATGATGGAGGCCACTGTGTTCTTGGGGACCTAATTTTTTTGGCACCCTTCCCCAGATCTGTGCCTCAACACAATCCTGTCTCGGAGCTTTACGGACAATTCATTCAACCTCATGGCTTGGTTTTTGCTCTGACATGCACTGTCAACTGTGGCACCTTATATAGACAGATGTGTGCCTTTCCAAATCATGTCCTATCAATTGAATTTACCACAGGTGGATTCTAATCAAGTTGTAGAAACATCTCAAGGATGATCAGTGGAAACAGGATGCACCTGAGCTCAATTTCGAGTCTCATAGCAAAGGGTCTGAGTACTTATGTAAATAAGGTATTTATTTTTTCATTTTATTTTACATTTGCAAAAATTTCAAAAAATCTGGTTTTGCATTGTCATTATGTGGTATATTTTTTTATTGAATCCATTTTAGAATAAGGCTGTAACGTAACAAAATGTGGAAAAAGTCAAGGGGTCTAAATACTTTCAGAATGCACTGTACAGACCCACTATAGCACTGTCTTCTTAGGCAATGTCTTTATTGCTATGGACTAATTAGTGTTGTCACAATACCAGAATTTTGACATTGATACCGATACCAGGTTTAGTATCATAATACTCGATACTGTCACGATACTCGATTCCAAAACGATACCAAAACAATACCATAAAAAAAAGAAGGCATATTAGCCAAAGTCACCGAATTGCACTTGATCCAGACAGATAAACTCAGCTTCTGCGCTGTTCAATCGTTGGGCATCTTTTGAGTTCAATTTCATTACATTTTAAAATGTTTATGTCAATTTTTTGGAGACAGTCGTGTATGCATTAATGAATCAATTGTACAATCATACAATCATTTTGAATTTGTTTTTACCAATCTAACTTCAAAACAACATAATGGTAATAATTTATTTAATAGGTAAATCTCTATTGATAAACTGGGTAAATCATTTCATTGGCAAATGCTAGGAGAATATATGATTTTATTGTACTGATCAACAACATTGATCACAATGTGCTAGCTAGCTAACTAGTTAGCTAACATACGGTGTTGCCCCTGCCTCCCACTTACCGGAGTAGCTAGCGGGAGGCGGGGGCGACCTGTAGACAGTTTCCTTCGCCCCTGCCTGTCAGGCACTGTTTTCCCGCAGTTCTGTTAACGAAGGTGAGGGCAGGTGTTTGGCAGGCGGGAGCGAAGGACACTGTCTACCGGTGTTGCCCCCGCCTCCCGCTAGCTAGCAATGAGGACTCCGGTACACAGCAGGCAGGAGGCGGGGGCGTTAATACTTTTATTTTCGTTTTGACCCACATTCAAAAGTGTCACACAAGCATGAAGATGTCATGATGGAGGTGGGGGCGTTCATTCAGAAACCAATTGGATACTTGATGGGGGGCATTCATGAAGGAACCAATGGGATGCTCGAGGGGGGTCATTCCTGCAGATGCAGGAATGCCCACATACAGGAAACCAGACTGGAAGCGAGGGAGACATAGAAGTAAATTAGTTTTTGGTGGAGAGGGAGACGAAGTGAATTAACAATGTTTTAGTGACAATCAATCAGCTTTGAAATCAGCATATTTTGCGTTATGGTTTGCACAAACAAAGTACTAGGGTTGTGAATTGATGTTACTTCAGTTGTAAGCTAGCAAGGAACGTTAGCCTACAATTAAAGCCGGAAGCTACCGGTATCGTCTTGCATTGTTCTAGCCTGTATGGACATTGTTTTGCAAACAGTTTCAACATTTCTACATGCCGTGTTGCGTTATTCAAGTTTTTAATTTCTGTGCAGCATGAGTGGGGAGCTAATAATGCAGCCCAGACAGCTCTAGCAATGAATGAGTAAGTGGAGCAGGCACTTTGCTCTTCACGCTATAAAGGAGCAGAGCTGATACACAGACTTGATCCTCTCAATCATGTGCGACACATTTGACAGAAGTAACAAATATAAAAAATTATCTAGTACCGAACTGTATTTGTATTTTTTCTGTATCTAAATAATAAACAAAATGACAGTAATTAAAAAACAGCACCACCTATAGGCTCCTACATGTACTGGCAGGTTCTATTACTATTTTTTATTTTATTTTATTTTAACTAGGCAAGTCAGTTAAGAACAAATTCTTATTTACAATGACGGCCTACACCGGCCAAACACGGACGACGCTGGGCCAATTGTGCGCCGCCCTATGGGACTCCCAATCACGGCCGGTTGTGATACAGCCTGGAATCGAACCAGGGGGTCTGTTGTGACGCCTCAAGCACTGAGATGCAGTGCCTGGGATTAAAAGGCACTGTTTTCACACCAACCCGACTTACGTCTGGGCCTGTATTCAGAAAGCTTCTCAAAGTAGGTTGAATCCAACACTAAGACCAATGCAGACTTCCCATGTTGTATTTGGATTGTGCAACCACTTTCGTCTTTGCCAGTCTGTGCGTGATTATGTGCGTTAGCTTGTTCGTAGGTTGTTGGTTGAGTAGTAAGTTGCAGATTAACTTCCGACTGTCACTTTTGGAAAGTTACTCTGGAGAGGAAGGACAGTGGAGTAACAGCTGCTGCTAGCCACAGCGTGTTTGTATGTTGTGTTAGGCAGCTTGTCAAAGTTCTGTTCCTGGCACTTAACCATATTGGGTAATTCTCCAACACACCATCTGCTGTGCAAAGATGTAAGAAGTGCCTGTTGATGTAGCTGGGGTATCTTTAATGAGACTGTTATACCGGGACAGGCTGTTCCGCTGCCGTATATGGATGTACAGATGGTGATTTAATGATGGTTTATTGTGCTTTTGTTTTGTTTTTCCAGATAAAGACACTCAGACAAATATCCACTACTCCAGAATTGTGGAAGGTATATCCAATATTTATTAAATATTCATTAATTCATTGTCAGTAATTTTTTCCCATGGGGGGGCTACACAGTACTGAATCCGGTACGTGTATTTTAACACAGGTGTGTGGAGACCAACATGTCTTCGAAGATGCAGAGTTCCAATAACATAGCCCATGCCAGGAGGACAGTCCAGCAGCTGAGAATAGAGGCCAGCATTGAGAGGATTAAGGTACGCTTCTCAAACATAACCCATCATTACTGTACGTTTATGACATTACATTTTCATCCTGCAAGAACTGCCTTCTCTGACCTTCTCTCCGCTCCCCCTGAACGCTGCAGAGAAACCGAGTCTTATGAACCTGTGTGGTAACAGAGGATCTTGTTGACTTGTGTTGTAAATGTTCCAATGTCCACACAGGCATACCACTTGTGTGTGTTTCTTCATGTTCATCTGAGTCCGATAGCAACCTGCTCTATGATTCTCTCCCGCAGGTGTCCAAGGCCTCAGCAGACCTGATGCACTACTGTGGAGAACACGCTAAATATGACCCTCTACTCATGGGCATCCCAGCCTCTGAAAACCCCTTCAAAGACAAGAAGCCGTGCACTATATTATAGTTGCAGGACAGCTGAAATGTCTTTGCTTTTTTATTTGTTTATTCTTTTATAGAGAGAAATATGACGTTAATACCGGTACACTATTTGCCTTAAGGCCAGCCCAGCCCCACTCCCCATGTTTCCTTGTGCTTTAGGTTGATTCCCAAATGTTAGGGCTCTGGTGAAAAATAGTGCACTATATAGGGAATAGGGTTCCATTTTTGGACTTTTGTAAACATGTGCCATTTTGGTAGGATCAGAATCATTGGTCTGCTCTCTCTTCATCACATACAACTAAGACCAAAGAGCACCATTAGGCAAAATGCAACAAGTCTTTGGTGACCCAGAAACAATGCTTTAGTTTAGTTTAATCAGTCATGAATGAATGAAAGCTCATTCTGAGGCTCCTCTCAACAGAGACTGGGGTTCTTTCAGATTGTTATCTCATGTTATGCAGACTAAATACTAGCTTGGTTTGAACTAGGGGTTCCCAAATCTGTAATGTTCACATCAGCCAGAGCATAAATAATGCCAATGGCCCTAAAGCATAAAGTATTGCACAACACTCTAGTGAAACCTTTCAGCTCCTGATTGCGTCAGTCAGTCCCCACACAGTAGCTTCTTTGGGAAACAATCAGTCTAGTTTGTATGTTACTGATAAGCCTGTAATAACCCCATTATGTAAATCACCCAGTCCCATGACACAGGAGGACTCTAACACCAGTGCTGATGGGCTGGTAAATTATGGCTGTGTCCCGAATGGCACCCTATTCCCTACAGAGTGAACCACTTTTGATCAGAGCCCTATGGGCCCTGGTTAAAAGGTGTGCTCTAAAGAGAAAAGGGTGCCATTTGGGACTCAGCCTGTGAATGTCCCATCACAACAGGAGAGGGCGGGTCGGCCAAAGTAATAATACTCTCTCAAAGGGTGCCTGTTGTTCTGTAAGGGAAAGTGTACGGCTTGCAGCCACAGCCTCATAAACCGGCAGGGGCCTGAATAAGGTTAAAGGATGATCACTTAACCATGTTTAACCAGCATTGTTTTGTTTCTGCAAAGATGTCAGAGATCGTTTTGTTTTCAGGCAGGGGTAGAGGGTGGGGGGGGGTTCAATTTGAACTATTTCACTTCTATGTCTTTTGTTATGAAAGAATGACTCTTTAAACGTTAATACTAATACTGATCACTTGTGAATTTGCCATTACTTTGCCTTAGAAACCAACCTTTGTGACTTTGCATAGTTGTCTTATTTGTGTGTGGTACAGTAGATGATAGATAATGTAGCAGCAATATTAAGTATTGCAGATACTATATAACCCTTTAAATTAGTTTAACATGCCTTACATTGATGTAAAATATATTGGTCCATAATGATGTCTCTACTGGGCTGAAGGAGAAGAAGTTAAGATCACAATCACATCTATCCAATGTACAGATGTAGTATTGTAATTTCATCACCCTGATGTTGCAGAATATTTGCTGCACAGCAAACTTGTAGTGTATTTGAGGTTTAAAAAGGGTTCTAAAGTTTGTAATTTCCACTTTTAAATGTCAGACTTGATTTGGCTTAACTAAAAATGTATCAAACCCAAAATAAACATTTCCATTAACTGTAATCCACACAATAATTCACATTACCTGTTGCTGCAGAATTATTTTCCTGCTGTGGAAAACTGTTCAAATTAAGATCCTACATCTGTACCAGCACCAGCGGAAACGTACTAGCCTGAGTGCTAATCTGTTTGTGCTATCATGCCAACTCCTTCACTCATTGTCGTGGCAAACAAAGATAAAATCTGTCTTGACAAGGACATCAATGGAGTAGGCAAGAGCACAAACAGATCTTGTACCAGGCTAGAAATTTAAAAGGTTTTCTGATTGTATTTTATTGCCAGTGCTTTTAAAGTGTTTGACTGTAATAACTTTTTATTGATAGATGTACGACTTCTATTCTGACAGGGATTCTGTGATCCATCGTGAAATTTGTGACGACTGTTATTATGATCTCTTCTTGAGTTTGAACATTCCATATTTACAATAAATGCTTATTTTCAGCTCTCAGAATGGTCAAGCGTTGAATAATAATTGTTATTGTGTGTTTGGGAGAGTGTTTTTCTGTCTGTGCACGTGACTGTCAAAAGCAACTCGGAGACCATGGTCGTGTCCATTAGGGCAGACAGTAGCAAAACCGAAAACTAAAACAGTTAGACAAGTTCAAGTAGTACCTCCCTGGTTCGCTTCGTTTTGTACCTAATGAACGCGACACAGCTTAATCAGCCAGGGCCTAAATATTAAAGTAGTCTTGTTTCAACATCTCACCACTACTTTTCAGCCCCACTCCTCAAACAACACTATACTAATACTGTGAACAACTGAATCAATACATCCCCAGTGGATGCAGGGAGCACATATTTGCTGTGCTTGTCACTATTCATCTGTCATTATCATTATTGGTAATACACTAAATTGCTCTTATACCTGTGGGTTAAAGCCTAAAATTACCACAGACTGCTATATATAGAGACAGGCGGCAGCACCAACTGAAACGTCCCCTCATAGTAGGCTATTTGCCTTCATATTCTGTGTAATCTCGGCAACCTACAATCGAAAATCTCACGTAAACTACTATTTATGTTAAGTAGTCTGTCCACAATTCTGTGTGGCTTTGAAGGCTTGCTTGAAGTTGTGTGTTCCTGTATGATGTGTTTCTACATGTGCTTCTCACTGTTATGTCACTGCAATGACATTCTGAACTTCGTCCAATCGAAACTCTGGATGTGTGTCTAAACAACTTTATTGTCTTTCTCCTGTATACATTTACAATTAAAATATGCTATTTTGATGCATGTGTTGCATTGATTTTTGGCAACTTATTTCATGTTGCAAATGGATTTTGCAGTTTTAAAAGAAAACATGTTTATTTTTCTCTGTGACAAATACCGGATGTTGGATTTGGTCTCTACTACATACTGTCCAATTGGATATATTTCCTATTTCAAGTGATTAAAATTTGATTCACAATTTTGCCTTCTTATATTTAGTAGATCTAAATAAATGTCTTTAAAAACACAATTTCAATGATTTAGTAGTGATTTGTAAACGCATCTGGCACAATAAAAAGTGTGTAGAAAATGATACTTGTCTTACAATGATCATCAGATACATTTGAACAAGTGGAGAGGATAGATTGTTGAATTGTCACAACAACTAATAGACTAGCTAGTGACACGTCAGTGAGTCACCTGGCTGTAAACATTCCCATTTTGCTCTGATTTCTGCCATATTTTGTTGTTCTCTGCCCCCAAGTCCAGGTAGGGCTGGTTGTTATGTAACGATCCCTATGCTTCAGAGTGGCATCTCTCTCTTTCTCTCTGTCTGTCTGTCGCTCTCTCTCTGTCTGTCTGTCTGTCTGTCTCTCTCTCTCTCTCTCTCTCTCTCTCTCTCTCTCTGTCTCTCTGTCTCACTGTCTGTCTCTCTCTCTCTCTCTGTCTGTCTCTCTGTCTCTCTCTCTCTCTCTCTCTCTCTCTCTCTCTCTCTCTCTCTCTCTCTCTCTCTGTCTGTCTGTCTCTCTGTCTGTCTGTCTGTCTGTCTGTCTCTCTCTCTCTCTCTCTGTCTGTCTCTCTGTCTTCTGTCTGTCTGTCTGTCTCTCTCTCTCTGTCTCTGTCTCTCTGTCTGTCTCTCTGTCTGTCTCTCTCTCTCTCTCTCTCGCTCTCTCTCTGTCTCTGTCTCTGTCTCTGTCTCTCTCTGTCTGTCTGTCTGTCTGTCTGTCTGTCTGTCTGTCTGTCTGTCTGTCTGTCTGTCTGTCTGTCTGTCTGTCTGTCTGTCTCTCTCTCTCTCTCTCTCTCTCTCTCTCTCTCTCTCTCTCTCTCTCTCTCTCTCTCTCTCTCTCTCTCAGGGTCTGATGTTACAGGCAGAAACCAGGTCAGGCCATATTTGTTGGCACATTGATGTATTCGCCACTCTCCCCTCTGATATCAGATGACACTGGGCTTTGTGGATATTCTCTGTGATTGTGTTACCTTTCCACTTGACAGAAGAAAGTATTTGTTTGCACTACCTACTCCCTTACAATTTCCTTTCTGTACTCAACCTGGTTAAAGATATGCTTGTGTTAAATATATTTCACCTTTCCCCTGATACATACCCCAGAGATGCATATTTGCACAGATCAGGATCTTTATGAAATATTTCAGTTCTGTTGGCATTGCGGTTAAGCCTACAGATCCATGGGAAAAACCTACAGAGACAGTGTATTCAGAGTTCATCAGAGTAATGTAGCAGTGTTCTGTTCATAGTCCATGCTTGCTCCTCCTAGCTGGATTCCTGTCATTTGTGTCATGTGTGTTTTAGTTTGACTGGTGGTGGTGCCCCCAGCCTAGCAATTCTTCCATGACTCTTGTGTAAATTCAAAGGAGTGAGGTTGCAGTGTACTGGCCTTCTCCTAACCTCCAGTCCACACTGTTTCACCCACAGGACTGATGCCCCATTCCTGACCTGCAGTTCACTTGGACCTTTATGGCTTTATGGTTAGTTCCTATATCCACTAAAACCACTAGATTTCTACCTCAGGAGAAGGTAGTAGCCCCCCTGCAACTTTCCTCTATTCTCACTCACTCCAAGTCAAATCAGCATAGCATTCTACTGCTCAGAGTTTATCTGATGACTGGAACTGTGGGCTCACACCCATGTCTCTCATGCTAAGACAGCTATGGTGACTTGTCCTGAAACATACAATGCTGTGAAAAAACGTGTGGTTATTGCCCCCGGAAAGGATGGGAAAGCTAAATTACAAAAATGTATCATTGAATGCTCCATGGTGTTAAGACACCACAGGAGTACAGCTACATTTCAGGCCACCATCATGCTGACATGACATTAGGGGGTTTCTGCTTAACAGCCAGCCCTGCTTGTGTTGCCTTCTAATTAGTAACACTATTATTACTATCAGTGCATCACTGTGAGTGTGATTGCATCACCTCCATTCTATTTATAGCCATGATGAAATCAGTAGTCAGCAGTACCCCCCCCCCCCCCCCCCCGCTGTGAGGGTCTGAATGGGCCTTGACACAGTCACACACTCATTGTTTCAGCAGCTGCTCTTTGAGGGCTTTGTACCCCTGCTTTGCTCTGCTGCACACGCACACACACAATAACTTCTTGTGTCCTCTGAGTGTGCTGGTTAGTAATAGATATTTTCTTTCCTCTGGCTATTTTTGTCCCTGCCAGGTGTGTTTGAACAGAGGGTGTTTCTGTGTTTGAACAGAGGGCCTCGGTGACAGCATGGGTTGTCATGGTGATCACACACAAACACACTGATGCTGCTGCTCACACAAGGAAACTACATGTATGTGGAAATTCTCCTTCTCCCTCCTGTGTGACTTTTTTAACATTTGAATGCAGGGTGTGGAACTGTTGTTACATGGGCTTTGTGTCCTTGGATGTAAATAACCAACACTCTGTAGTGTTTACACTCTGTATCTCCTGAGTGGCGCAGTGGTCTAAGGCGCCGCATCGCAGTGCTAACTGTGCCACTAGAGATCCTGGTTCGAATCCAGGCTCTGTCGCAGCCGGCTGCGACCGGGAGACTCATGGGCGGCGCACAATTGGCCCAGCGTCGTCCAGGGTAGGGGAGGGAATGGCCGGCAGGGATGTAGCTCAGTTGATAGAGCATGGCGTTTGCAACGCCAGGGTTGTGGGTTCGATTCCCACGGGGGGCCAGTATAAAAAATAAAAAATAAATAAAAATAATGTATTCACTAACTGTAAGTCGCTCTGGATAAGAGCGTCTACTAAATGTAAATGTTTACCACTGGTGTCAATGGAGTGATGTATTGTTGAGACATGGTGCATGTTACATAATAAATATATGCTAAACTAAGTATTAGCTTTTTGCACCCGGTTAAACAGTGAGCCTTTCTTTATTCAGCTGAATATGAAAGATCACTTGAAAATGTTGCATGCTATGCCATTGGCGTGAACTGAGGCTTGCAGTCAACACCTGCAGCTGAGGAAAAAAAAACACTACCAATGAGAAATGACAAAAGGTGCTGCAGCTGGAATTGTGCTGAATTATCTAGTGACCTCAGTGAAAAGCCTCTTTGACCAAGCATGGTGCAAACAGAATCCTTGTTCAATGGCCCTGTTTTCCACTTCCTTGACAGGGAAGCATTATTAGTCCTGTGAGTGATGTGTTCCTTACAGGTGAATCAAAAACCCGCTGAATGATAAAAGTAACTCACTGCATAAAATCCAAGCAAGCAATTAAATGTTTAGTTCAGTTCAGTTTATTTCTCTACAAAGGTAGCTGTTGATGAACATTGCAACATAAATACAATTCATTAAATTAATGCAAACATATTAATTAAAACAAAACAACAAGTTAATGTTTAAGTCAATACATTGCTTTGTCCTGACAATATCGTCCCTTTTTTTATTTAAATAATTCTCAAAATAACAATTCAGAGATTATCAACATCATATAAATTACAGTTGTGATTTATTTTTCCCCCAGAGTATATCAACATGGGAATTTGGTCCACTTTCCTTGAGCCATTATCCAACCTGTAGTCCCAGACTAGTCCAGACTACTCTGGTCCAGTTCAGTAAAATCCAGTCCGGTTAAATGAAGTCCGGTCCTTGACTCTGGTCCAGTCCTTGGAGTCAGTCATATGATCCTCCAGGAGATTCCAATGCCCTGCTGCCTGGTGTTCTCCGCTCTGCTCACCACTACTTGTGTCTAGTCTGTTCTGCTGTGTGTGCTCACATGATTCAGCTTCCTGTAATGGCTTTCTTCCCGGCAACGCCAGGGCAACGAGGGCACAGTCATACCAATGACCAACTGTTGCCTTGTAATTACAGTCATCATTGTTACCTTGGCAGTCTTGGAACCCAGAACGCTGAGTCACTCTTCCTCAGCCGAAACCTCGGCATAATATCCACACTGATCCAGCAAGTTTTGTTGGAGTTGGAGATTGTCTTGTTCTTTTGTTGGAGATTTCCTTGTCCTCCTTCCCCCGCCATCTCTTTCCCTCTGTTGAATCAAGGCTGTTCACGAGAGGTCCAACAAAGGGGTTATTACACAGATCTAGTGCAGTGTGCGGTGTTAACATATAAAGTGCACAACATGGGTAGAGTCATCAGTCAGGTAGGTTGATGATGGGGACCCACTGGTCCAGGATTCGACTGTCTCTACAGAAGCGATTCACTTTGCTCAGAGCTGGGTCCTTCCACGTGGTCGACTGGGGGTTCTGTGAGGAGGAAGGGAAAACACAAACAGTTAGGCTAATGCTGCTTTCTAAAAACGTATGCATTAAAATACAGACCTAATAAATGTGTAACAACAACCCTAATCAGTTGGGCCTGAGGGTTCTCTGCAAGTGAGTGTGGTTGCTATAACTGCTCACACAGTTAATCACCATACATCTACTGCTTTGCTTTCTAAATGTATCCATCAACTATAGGGCAAAAAAAGTATTTATAATAACCATAATCAGATAAGGGTTCTCTGCAACTGGTTTGGTTACAGTGACAAGTAGAGCTACAGGTGTAAGATCTTAATTTGACCCAGTTTGCTACAGCAGGAAAAAAAATCCTGCAGCAACAGGAAATGTGAAGTATTATGTGGATTATAATTAATGGACATTTTTGTAGTCAGAAGCCTTTTGAAACCTCAAATACACTACAAGTTTTACATTTCCTGATCCTTAAGATTTTAAGATCCTACATTATCTGTATGGCCTGCTAGTGTGCTTCATAGATCAGATTTCTACTAAGTAAGTGTATGAGCAGGGCATAAAAATGTCTCCATGCTGACTTCTGCATTCTAAGAATCTCTCTGTAAACATGCAATCGTTCATCCTCTTTCTCCTTTGAGCTCAGCTTCATTTCCTGGAATGTGTGTTTGAAGAAATACTAGTGGCCCACAGGAAGAGCAGTTAGAGTACACATCGCTCTGCCAACTCAGCCTAGGGAATAGGGTGCCATTTGAACGCACTCCCAGTAACTGGAGTCAGATCACTTGCAGTACTGCAGCCAGCGTAAGCTACGTCAGACCACTACGCAACCCACATCACAGACACAGACAGACACACTACAGATCAGGTGGCTGCAGTCAACTGGATTAAACTTAAAAGAGCAGAGCAATGAAAGAAGACATAAAAACTACTAGACCAGATGTTGTGGCCATTTAAAGTATTTGTATGCATCTAGGCCTATGATTCTGTATTCAAAGCTCTTGACCAGCAAATCTTTAGCATCCACGAAAAATTTATAATAACCTAGCTCATATAATGAACTCAGTCCAGGTTAAAAGTGCCATACCTGCAGAGACCCCAGCTGAGTAACCGATATAAAAGTCTAGCACTGTTTAGTGTAGAAATGCCAAGGATATGGAGAGTATGAATAATGTAATGACACGTACAGTAACTAGTACACAGTGCAGGTCCATAGGCTCTCCTCCAGGCTTCACTCCTCCAAGGATCTCAGCGAGGCGCCTCATGTTGCTGACCCGCAGGATGTTGATGTCGTTCTCGCAGCAGAACGCCTGGATCAGGGTGAAGTGGATCTGGAGGGCAACGTCTTCTACCTGCTCCTCGTCCGTAGCCAGGAGGCACAACACCACATTATCCGGGTCACTGATGATTTAAATAACGTCACAATTGGTTAAACAAGCAGAATATATTAATTTAGTTGCCAGAATGTTTATTACAGTTTCATTGCGTAAGAATAGATTGAAAAATAATGTACTTCACTCCTTGGTTATTTCAGAATGGATTTATTACTAGCTAATAACGTTATAATATTGCTGAATGTGCTTCATTTGCTAGCTACTTACACATTGAGTGACTTGGCTGCCTCGTATACTCCGACAGTGATGCAACCCTGAGGTAAAGCAGAGCTGAGGACCTCTTCCAGTGCTTTAGTCACCGAATCCATCCTGAGGTTGCACAACAAAGAAGCATATTGATGGTGGGTGATACATGGCCCAAAAAACATAGTATCGATATTTAGTCATCTTGCAACATTATGGAAAGTATATAACTGCCTACCTATCTAGCTAACTTCATAGCTAACTAGGTTAGCTTAGTTATGTTCGGCCAAACGCTCGTGCATACCGGGACCTTCACATCACACAGCTAACTAGCTTGCTTGCCAAATTAAGTAAATTTAGCTGACAAGTGAAGCTTTCATTTTCAACAAGTTGCAAAAATAATCTCAACCTAGCTACCTTTCTGTAGAGTTTTCTCCACTGGTTTCCTCCAAAGTCATATTGCACATTGGAAAATATCCACGTTGAAGACAGAATATCCACAGATGGTCTCTTTCCACTCCAGTAACGTCCCAGTCAAGTTCGTGACCTTGAGTGTCTGCTTGTCTGTTCTCTGTGCATGATCACTGACTCTTTTTCTCATCCTTCCCCTTCTAGCGCCTCATATTTGCATATCAAACCCCATTGGTCACATGCTAATTTTCACGGTGTTTCGAATGAATGAGGAGCGCCCCCCAAGGTATCAGTACACCTATGCAACTTGCTTGGTAAACTGCGACGACTGGTGGAAAAAATTGAAATTGATCAGTGGCTAACTGTATTTCATGGTATATTCGTGGTAAATGCAAGACTGTTGATAGTGTGCAGAGTTGTGCACAATTCGTTTTATTTACACTTGTTATTATAGCCTACATATTTTATACCCGTTTGCTTTGGAGGCTAATTCAACATTCAAAACTTTCTAAAATGTCCTTGCATCCCAAACCACTGGGCACAGACGTCAATTCAACGATTCTTCCTTGAAATGACGTGGAAACAACGTTGATTCAACCAATGAGTAGGAAGAAACTAATGCAGAGCACATCAAATAGATGTTATCTCCATTTGCTGTGATTCCAACAATGCATAAAAGACGCCTTGCCAAAGATTGTATAGAAGGCCTATGGTTTAGAAGCCTTCTCTTGAAATAGCTAATTTAAATTTGGTCGAGCACACTGCCAGTACACTATTTAAAGAAATTTGATATACACGTGATATAATAACAGTTATGCAAAAGTTAATAAGTGATTTGTCCACAGAAGACACCAGTAGGCCTACACATGGTCCTCCCTAGTCTCATTTCATTGCCACTCTGCCTTCATGTTCTCCCTTATGTGGGAGACAGTCCTCTAACTTTTTCCCTTCCCAATATGGAGGTTTTAGGATACCAACCCCCAGCTAAATGGTATGCGCTGGTGGGTTGTTTTTTTCCATTTCCACTGTCAACTGGCCGGGGTTCAGCGCAACGTGGCATGTGCAGACTTCCTAACAAAAGTAAAAAAAATAAAAAATAAAATACAATGAAAATGGATACAGTTATTGTTCACAGACACAAAATATCGCAAATGTGAGTAGATATAGAGACATGATGTAAGTAATTCAAAGTAGCCTAATCTCTTCTTAAAAGTAATATCATGTTTATTACAACGGTTCTGCTGTCAAGGGAGTGTGCCAATATATGCTTACTAACACATTTGGTTGAACAACGTGCATCGGGATTTTGTCGGGGCCACAGATTATACATTTGTTTAGAAATACATTTTGATAGATGCATAAAATATTATATCAATCAGTAATTTTTTTCAATAAAAAAAACGTTTATTCTATTAAAAAAATTATATTTTACATGTGCGCAAAGGCAAGCTCTAATTGTAATGCGCAATTTGGCCCTTGTTATCCGATGAAAATAACTCGCTTGCCATGCTTTTATTTACCTGCTCATTTCGACTGTTGTACTTTGTACCCCTGAGCACTTTATCTTTCAGGTTCGGGTCGGCTCAGTTAATGTTGTGTGTTTCTTTTCCAGTGAAATGATGTGGCAGATGAACTTTGACTGCGACTGGCTGGGTGGAAGCGCTTTGAACAGATGTGAACTGTAAGTTTGAACTTTACAAATGTATTTGGTCTTTCTTTGTTTAGAAAAGTATGAATAGAACGTTAAATGCGCTGTCAAGGAAATACAAAGTATGTGTGCATGTATTGGTAGGTAGCTATAGCCTTGTTGGTTTATGTTGCAGAAATCTAGATTGACAGTTCTCTCTCGAAAATAGGTTCTCAATCTCAATTTCAAGAGTTCTCCCGTTTAGACAAAGGACAAATGCCATTCACAGGCTTTTATTTTATTATTTGTAGGCTACAAATGATATTGACCAAATGTGAACATGTTTCTATTTTATGGTCTCAATTAGCCTAACCATGTAGCAGTAGTATTCTGCCAGCAGCACAAATGATGACGTCACCTGGTATGGTAATGAGGAAACCTTCAAAATAAAAGCCTGCATTTCAAAACAATGCAATGTATTGTTTAGAATTTTAATCAATGGCCAATTTTATTGTGCCAACAAGAAAATGCAATAAGTAATTTATGAAAACAAATAACAAACATGGTTTTAAAAATATTTTTACCATTCATGAAAAAAGTACTATGTTGACACAGGTATGTTGAGAATATTGGGCTGTAGAGAGAACAATTCTACCTCTCTCAGCTAACGTGGGGTGGCAAATACGCAATAGGGTCTCTACTAACCAAATATGTCGTTTTGGAGGGGGACTGTATCATACATATCCAACAGCACTTTGTTCTCCACCCCCTTCATAGGCCCCAATGCAATACAAGCCAATACAATGTAATAGACTGTACATGGGATACATATTGGCTTGTAGAGAGATCAAATCAAATGTATTTGTCACATGCGCCAAATACAACAGGTGTAGACCATACAGTGAAATGCTTACTTACAAGCCCTTAACCAACAATGCAGTTTTAAGTAAAAAATAAGTGTTAAGTAAAAAATAGATACAAATAACGTGAAAAACACACACAATAGCACAATTGGTTAGGAGCCCGTAAAACGGCAGCCATCTCCTCCGGCGCCATTCATACGTTTTCTACCTGTCTCAGCTAAAATGGGATGGGAAATACTCAGTAGGGTCTCTACTAACCAATGATGTGTAGTTTTGGAGGGGCTGTGTCATACATATCCAGCAACACAGCTTTAAATGATCTGGTGCTATCCATGGTCCTGACATCAATACAGACAACAACAAAAAACACACACAAAAAAACTACACTTTTTTTTTATCAAAATGAAAATCTATTTTATTTACCTGTTAAATGTCATTAATATTTACCTGGGCTATTAGGAAACAGTATAATCACTCTTTCTAAACAGCAATGGAGAAATGTATTTACAAGTTGTAGGCCAATATGTGCTGCTTATCTATTAAGGTTATTAGGCCTATTAAATAATAAATTATAACAGAGACAAGATTATTTACAAGCTATATTGTAATGATTATCGATCAAGGTCAGCAAAGGCACTTTTTGTAGAGTTTAAAATGCATTACAAGGGACAACAAGGATACAAGGCTAACAGTACACAGTATAATCAAGCTTTCAGAACAACAATGGAGAACATTATTTACAAGTTATATGCCTCTATGTGTTGCATCTCTATCAAGGTTAGCAGTATACAGTAAAGGCCTATTAACCAAGTTTTCAAAACCAATAACAGAGACAAGATTGCACGATAATACATAATACAGAGACATGATGATTATCTGTCAAGGTCAGCAAAGGCATTTTCTGTAGAGTTTAAAATGTATTACGTAGTAATTTTCTCACTGATAAGTCAAATAAAACATACTCTCGCATGCCATTGTGACAAAGCGTATTCACATCGCCCTCTAATAAGACTGCTTATGAGAATAAGCACACATAAACACCACAACTACTACCATCTGACTGTTTTCTAAAATAGGGACACCGATGAGAAAATTCATTGTTTAGTGTCACATCTACCACAACACCATGCATTGCCAGATACTGTAAAGCCAGGTATTTCTGAAGTGGAAGTAGTGTATCCTTTAATTCTCTTTCATACTGGCTTAAGGAATCCATCATTTTAAGATATAATGTAGTGCAATTACTGCTACTAACTACACTGAGTGTACAAAACATTAGGAACACGTGCTCTTTCCATGACATAGATTGACCAGGTGAATCTAGGTGAAAGCTATGATCACTTATTGGTGTCACCTGTGCCATTCAGAGGCGGAATGGGGCAAGACACATTTTTTAAAATGCCTTTGAGCGGGGTATGGTAGTAGGTGCCAAGTGCACCGGTTTGAGTGTGTCAAGAACTGCAACACTGCTGGGTTTTTCACGCTCAACAGTTTGCCATGTGTATCAAGAATGGTCCACCACCCAAAGGACATCCAACCATTGTACCCCTCACGTATTTGGTCATTGAACCACTTGTGGTCATTGCTTAACCTTTTACTACAGTGGGCTAAATCAGGGTCACACAGAGTGTTTCTTGGTAGTCTTAAACAAATCTCCTTTGAAACAAAAGTATACACCTCACACACATGGTTATGGGCTTAAAAAAAGAAGACACCTGTACCATGTCAGATATAGAGTTGAAATGTATTACATTTTGAGTCTGCATTCCAATATTGCACTTTATATACATCACAGAAGACTGAAAAATATAAAAACCATTTGACATAGAAACACCGGATTTTCGTTTATTTTATTTTAAATAATGTTATTAATTATTAAATTATGAAAATTATTAATAACATTCCACCCATGAGGCCACTAGGTCATTTGACTGCAGGAAAGGGCTACTATGTTACAATCCTCTAGTAAGTGGAGATGGAATAGTTTTGGTTGTCTTTGGAATCTTCAGTTTAGACCCAGATTAGTCATTCTTTGTGCATTTGTCAGAGCACAGATTACTTTTGTCTTTCTGAAGACAATGTAGAACTTTTCCCACTGTGTTTCTTTTCATATGATACCGGATTGAACACAGCTTTCTTCAGGAATTCTTGGACCTTCTCTAAGGTAAAGCCAACAGTTGATTTTGATACATGAGTGCAGTCAATATACCAGAGCTTGCCATGTAGTGTGTACGATTTCACAAATGGGCCAACTAATAATCACTTGTATTTTCTCACAAATGACAATTGCGACCAAAGTGGGTTTAAGAAAATTGTTAAAAGGCTATGCATAATTGGGTTGATATACACTACCAGTCAAAAGTTTGGACACACCTACTCATTCAAGGGTTTTTCTTAATTTTTACTATTTTTTACATTGTAGAATAATAGTTAAGACATCAAAACTATGAAATAACACATATGGAATCATGTAGTAACCAAAAAAGTGTTAAACAAATCAAAATATATTTTATACTTCAAATAGCCACCCTTTGCCTTGATGACAGCTTTGCACACTCTTGGCATTCTCTCAATCTGCTTCACCTGGAATGCTTTTCCAACAGTCTTGAAGGAGTTCCCACATATGCTGAGCACTTGTTGGCTGCTTTTCCTTCACTCTGTTGTCCGACTAATCCCAAACTATCTCAATTGGGTTGAGGTCGGGGGATTGTGGAGGCCAGGTCATCTGATGCAGCACTCCGTCACTCTCCTTCTTGGTAAAATAGCCCTTACACAGCCTGGAGGTGTGTTGGGTCATTGTCCTGTTGAAAAACAAATGATAGTCCCACTAAGCCCAAGCCAGATGGGATGGTGTATCGCTACAGAATGCTGTGGTAGCCATGCTGGTTAAGTGTGCCTTGAATTCTAAATAAATCACAGACAGTGTCACCAGCAAAGCACCCCCACACCATAACACCTCCTCCTCCATGCTTTACGGTGGGAACTACACATGCGGATCAAAATATATTTTATATTTCAGATTCTTCAAATAGCCACCCTTTGCCTTCTTGACAGCTTTGCACACTCTTGGCATTATCTCAGCCAGCTTCATGAGGTAGTCACCTGGAATGCATTTCATTTAACAGGTGTGCCTTCTTAAAAGTTAATTTGTGGAATTTCTTTCCTTCTTAATGCGTTTGAGCCAATCAGGTGTGTTGTAACAAGGTAGGGGGGGGTATACAGAAGATAGCACTATTTGGTAAAACACCAAGTCCATATTATGGCAAGAACAGCTCAAATAAGCAAAGAGAAATGACAGTCCATCATAATGGAAAATGTCAAGAACTTTGAAAGTGCAGTCGCATAAAACATCAAGCGCCACAGGAATGGAAGACCCAGAGTTACCTCTGCTGCACAGGATAAGTTCATTAGTTACCAGTCTCAGAAATTGCAGCCCAAATAAATGCATCACAGTCACAGACACATCTCAACATCAACTGTTCAGAGGGGACTGTGTGAATCTGGCCTTCATGGTTGAATTGCTGCAAAGAAACCACTACTAAAGGACACCAATAATAAGAAGAGACCTGCTTGGGCCAAGAAACATGACCAATGGACAGTAGACCGGTGGAAATTTGTCCTTTGGTCTGGAGTCCAAATGTAATATTTTTGGTTCCAACCGCCGTGTCTTTGTGAGACGCGGTGTGGGTGAACGGATTATCTCTGCATGTGTAGTTCCCACCATAAAGCATGGAGGAGGAGGTGTTATGGTGTGGGGGTGCTTTGCTGGTGACACTGTCTGTGATTTATTTAGAATTCAAGGCACACTTAACCAGCATGGCTACCACAGCATTCTGCAGCGATTCACCATCCCATCTACCTCCAGGCTGTGTAAGGGCTATTTTACCAAGAAGGAGAGTGACGGAGTGCTGCATCAGATGACCTGGCCTCCACAATCCCCCGAACTCAACCCAATTGAGATAGTTTGGGATGAGTCGGACAACAGAGTGAAGGTCCTGTACTGTGCCTTTCTAGACATTTACATTTACATTTTAGTCATTTAGCAGACGCTCTTATCCAGAGCGACTTACAGTTAGTGAATACATATTTTTTTTATACTGGCCCCCCGTGGGAATCGAACCCACAACCCTGGCGTTGCAAACCTTACAATCTGCCGAGAGTAGACCCACAAGTTATCCAAATGGACTTAATGGAATGAAACATTCAAATAACAGGGCTTTTGCACTATTATTAAAATGACATTTTCACTGCAGTTTACAGCCTTGAGTAGAATTGTACTCAATTGTACTCACTTGAAAACAATAATGCAAATATTCATTGCATTGTGGTGTTATTGTAATGAATACTCAGGGAGAAAAATTTGTAGATTCACGCGCAGAGCGTGGCAGGTGTTTATTTAGCCTTCGCAAAAGGCAGGAATCGTGGTCACAGGCAGGCAATGGTCATACACAGGTAGGCAAATAGGCAGGAGAATCAAAAACTAGGACTGAAGGCTATAACTGGTTCTCACAAACGAGCTATAAAAAGGCTTAGTAGAGTCAAAACAAACAACACCTCACAAGGCACACACAGAAAGAACTGAACTAAATAAGGAGCTGATGAGACCAGGTGAGTAACTAACACAGGTGAAATCAACGAACAAATATGAAAGACAGGGCTACGTTCAAGAACACAAAGAAACAGGGCTACGTACAAGAACAAAAGTTGAACTAAGAAAACAAATACAGAACCTTACAGTTGTAGGGTAGTTTAGGTAGGATCATTTTATTGTCCTTAAGGCCATACAAATTTAATTAACTGTATAACAGATGTATTTTCTTGGCCCCGTGTAGCTCAGTTGGTAGAGCATGGCGCTTGCAACGCCAGGGTTGGGGGTTCGTTTCCCACGGGTGGCCAGTATGAAAAATGTATGCACTCACTAACTGTAAGTCGCTCTGGATAAGAGCGTCTGCTAAATGACTTAAATGTAAAAATGTAAATGTAAAAGTGAGGCGAGCCAACACATTTAAAAAAATCATAGTAACATTTTAAAAACAAAGTTGTACCCCCTTGTGATAATACTAAACAACACCTAGCAACCTCACCAAGAGATTTTAGCCTTTCGGTATTGTAGCAGGGAATACAACTCGGGTTGCTGATGTGAAAGACAAACACCCTACGCATCATGCCAATAGGGTTAACCCACTTGCTTGAAATTGTAACGTGGCTCATATAGCGAGGATTGCTACACTGCCCCCTCCGTACTTGAAGGCACGACCCTGTGCTTCCACTACTCAGCCCCCTAGCACGTCCGAGCCATGCATTCCAATGGCCGCCTCCACTTCTGACACCAGTGTAGCAAATGGCAGGACAAGGAAGCGAAAATGGGTCAGCTGGCGTGAAAGGGAAACACCCTATGCATTGTGCCAATAGGGTTAACCCACTTGGGAGGAATTGTATCATTACATTTTAGTCATTTAGCAGATGCTCTTTTCCAGAGTACTTACAGGAGGAACTAGGGTTAAGTCAACAGATTTTTCATCAAGTCAGCTTGAGGATTCAAACCAGCAACCTTTCAGTTACTGGCCCAACGCTCTTAACCACTAGGCTACCTGCTGGCCTCATTATGGCTCATATAAAGCTAGGATTGTGACAGCATAGTGGTTTTGGAATGACAGTCACAAGGACCAGGGTTTGAGTCCCAGTCAGGGTACCACCTTAATCCACTAAATTGGTGTGAGGTGTTGGAGAGCACCATTGAAGGTTTTTGGGGAAAAACTTTGAAAAGGACTGTTTCAGCATGCATTGCGGATTTTATATAGCCGATATGCTATATATCTTACCTTTAGAAATGTTTACTTCAGGCTGACTACTAGCATCTATTGAGTTGCAATTTCCCATAAATTGAATGTTCAAATCAACTTAAAGTACCTACAAAATTAGTTTTGCAGCTACACAATTCGAAAGGAAGGCTACAGCTACATTTTTTCCTATTACTAACCAGGTTTCCATCGAACCTTTTTATGCGAGTAAAGTACATGTCGGATAAAAAATGTAATGACTGGCCTGATGGAAACAGAAACATTTGCGGTAAACTGTCCAAATGTCGACACAACAAAATACACTAGAAAAAGTGGATCTTTTCGTGTCTGTAAAATAAATTATGCAGGAAATGTTGATGAAAACGCTTTTATGTGCAAATATTGATATAATAACCATCATAAGTTTGGACGCACGGGATGACATGTAGTGTGGTCCTCCCACTACGACTCCTTGGGAAAGCTTGCAGTTTATTAGGCTACAGATGAAATAAGTTATGAGGAACTTCACAGGGTGGTGAAAGTGCAAGGTGATGAGCTTGATGCTCCTTTCCAATAAATATCGAGGGTCTTAGTCTGGTGACATGATCATCGATGCTTGGCTGCCATTTGACAAATAAAACATAATCTTGCTCTTTTGTCCATAATAATCTCATCATGTAGGCTATACCTGCGCGCTGTTGGCTAGCTAGAGCGCACATGCCAATACCAGAGTGGGCACACTCACTATATAACAAAAAATAATTGTGAGAAAACCATCAGTAAAGTTGAAAATGCGATGGAAACCCATTTGACTTGTATTTCTTATTTGGTACAAGGGAATTTAATGGCAAAGTAATTTTTATATGCACTACGTCATCACATACAGCCTTTTATCTGCAACAAGTCATTTTGATGGAAACACATCTCTGGTGGGAAAATGCGCAAATAGTTTTTATGCAGATTTTAGAATCTGTCACCAATTAGATGAAAACCTAGCTACTGTTTGCGATTCACAAATTATTATTTTGATTGCCATTATTCGATTCACCAACAATTAACCGATCCCCAACTACTACAATTGCGAAGCACATCATTCAATTTGTCAAAAAGAATAGTTTTAAAATAATATTTTCATATGAATTAAATGAATCAAATGATTATTATTATTATTTTATTTTTTCAGAAATGTGAAGAGGGGCATCCTCTATATAGTCAATTTAATTTGTATGGCCTAAACAAGATCAATAGGGGAGCTTTTTGAGCTGCATGTCTCATGTCTTGACTGATCTTTAATGCGAATTGACACACAAAAAAATACACTACCCTCCCCATAGCAAAAAAAAAAAGGTTTGACAACCTTCCCCTATTTTGGACCAGCCCTCCACCCCAGTAAATGTTGATCTGTCCTTAATTGCTTTGTAATGCTCCAGAGATCTTCCTCGGAGAGCTCTACCAATCCTTAGTTTTTTTCTTAAGCCTCTTTTCATGTGAAAGTACTGATGATCCATTATTCTTCTCAGGTATTGAAGCATTCTCCTCTTAACATAAAGAGCGGTCATCATGGATCCCAGAAGTCACCACTGGACCGAGCCAGGCCCTGGTCGTCACCCCCAGAGACCCAGGGAGAGAGAGGACTACCATAGGCCTGCTCACCCTCACCAGGGGACTGGAACCGGGAACTACCCACCAGCACCAAATGCTGGGGACGCTATCACTGGGCACTACCCACCACCACCGGACCCCAGGGAGAGGGAGAGGCAGTGGTCACGCCAGGACCCTCGCTACAGGGGCTACCTCACCAGCCCTCCCCCTCCCAGACCACCTCCAGAGTTCTCTCTCAGCTCCTACAGCACCACCCATTCCAGAACAGCTTACGGCAGACCCCACTCCACGATGGGTTACATCAGACCAGAGCCACAACACTCCAGACCCCACTCAAGGTTTGTACACAGAAACTGACTGTAACTTATTATATTATTGTCAAAAGTCAATGTCTCAATTTGAAAACGTACAAATAAAGTATATAAAAAAGAAAGAAACTGACTGTAACTGTAACTATCCACTATTCATTGAGGAAAAGGTTAAACTACTGTATCTCTCAGTATTATTTATTGTGGTTTGGTGGTGACACTTGTGAAATGCCAGCTATTTATTATGTGGACCCTAAGATACAGTTTTTAATAAATCATGTATCTTTATATGATCAGAAATGGATCTATGATATCTTTATATGATCTTATTGTTTACAGGCAAGCATATGACTACCCACCCCAGATTTACTGGGACCATAGTCAGGACTATGGCTACTATGACCAGGGCTATTACAAAGGACATTACCCAGGTACTGACATATTGTTATCAGTGGATTACAGTGATGCATTATATTACACAAGTATTGCACTCCTGCTTGCAAAGCAACTTAAGCTATTATCAGAGTTATAAAAATGGCGGCAGGTAGCCTAGCGGTTAAGAACGTTGGAACAGTAACTGAAAGTTTGCTGGTTCGAACCCCTGACCTGACCAGGTGTAACCTTACCCCTAGTTGCTCTGGATAAGGCTGTCTGCTAAATGACATAAAGGTAAATGTAAAAAACTTGCTTAGCAAGCTGGGGAAGGTAAATGAATTAAATTACTAACACCCCGTAGCACTCACTTCTGTCATCATGAAGTGCTTTGAGAGGCTAGATAAGGATCATATCACTTACCCGACACACTAGAACCACTACAATTTGCATACCGCCCCAACAGATCCATGGATGGCGCCATTGCACTGCATGCTGCCCTATCCCATCTGGACAAGAGGAATACCTATGTAAGAATGCAGTTCATTGACTAAAGCTCAGCCTTCAACACCATAGTGCCTTCCAAGCTCATCAATAAGCACGGGGCCCTGGGTTTGAACCCCGCCCTGTGCAACTGGGTCCTGGGCAGACCCCAGGTGGTGAAGGTAGGCAACATCACCTCCGCTACGCTGATCCTCAACACAGGGCCCCACAAGGGTGCGCGCTAAGCCCCCTCCTGTACTCCTTGTTCACCCATGACTGCGTGGCCACGCATGTCTCCAACTCAATCATCAAGTTTGCAGACGACACAACAGTAGTAGGCCTGATTACCAACAACAATGAGACGGAGGAGGTGAGGGCCAGGAAAATAACCTCAACGTCAACAAACGAAGGAGCTGATTGTGGTCTTCAGGAGACAGCAGAGAGAGCACAGGGCTGCAGTGGAGAGGATGAAAAGCTTCAAGTTCCTCTGCGTGCACATCATTGACAACCTGAAATGGTCTATCCACACAGACAGTGTGGTTAAGAAGGCACAACATTGCCTCTTCCACTAGGACCCTCACAAACTTCTACAGATGCACCATTGAGAGCATCCTGTCGGGCTGTATCACCGCCTGGTACTGCAATTGCACCGTCCGCAACTGCAGGGCTCTCCAGAGGGTGGTGCGGTCAGCCCAACATATCACTGGGGGCACAGTGCCTGCCCTCCACGACATCTACAGCACCCGGTGTCACAGGAAGGCCAAGAAGATCATCAAGGACCTCAGCCACGGTGTGTTCACACCGCTACCATCTAGAAGGCGGAGACAGTACAGGTGCATCAAAGCTGGGAACGAGAGACTGAAAAACTGCTTCTATCTCCAGGCCATCAGACTGTTAAATAGTCACCACTAGCCGGCCTCTGCCCAGGACCCTGCCCTGAACTTACTCACTGTTACTAGCCGGCTACCACCCGGTACTCTACCCTGCACCTTAGAGACTGCTGCCCTATGTACATAGTCATTGGACACTGGTCACTTTAATAATGTTTACATACTGTTTTACCCACTTCATATGTATATACTGTATTCCAGTCAAGGCTCATCCTATATAACTACTGCTGTACACACCTTTTCTATTCATATACTGTCCATACTGTCTATACACACAATCATATACATATATATTTATATTTCGGACTCTGACATTGCTCGTTCTGATATTTCTTCATTCCTTTCTTTGATTTGATGGGATTTGTGTGTATTGTTTTGTATTGTTAGGTGAGCTAGAAACATAAGCACTTCGCTGCACCTGCGATAACATTAGCAAAATATGTGTACGCAACCAATAACATTTTATTTTATTTTATTTCAACATATGCACCACAGTACAAAGGTAATTCATGTGTAAAGAAGCAAAACTAAACAATAACTATGTGCAAGTAAGCAACATGATTGATACAATTCTCTGTAATTGATATGATCCAGATGCAGGTCAATGGGCTCCCCAGGAACAATGGAGATCTGACCCGTATCAGGAGAGGAGATATGAGCAGGACCAGACTGGCAGTGGCTACCCAGAACAACAAAGGTTAGACAGAAAGACGTGACATTCATGATATTTCTTTCATTGAAGGGCATGAATTCAACCCTATTTCTTCTTCTTCTAATTATTTTTCAGGTATGACCAGCGAAGAGCCAGCTCTCAGCATGACTTCAGAGGCTCTGATGAAGATCGTTCTAAAGAGAATGGGGAGGCTGGTGGAGATGTAAACATCTAAATATTATGATTAATAAATGATATTAATTTCTTATGACAAAGATACAGATCTGTGTTGCTGTTTGCCCACTTTGGTGAATACTTACTTTGGGAACTTGGTTGTATGATGTTCTCCATCCCTGCCCATTCTCCTATCTTGGTTTGACTGGTCTTGTCCTCCAGGCCTGCTCTTATGCCGCTGGGGCTCTGGTCATCTCCAAGGCCTCAGGCCTGTCCTCCAGTAGCTATGAGTTGAGCCAGTACATCAACGGTGCTGAACAGACTGACCCTGCCCCACAACCCACCTGGAGCACAGCAGACACAGGTAATAATTGAGTTACATGTAATCTCCGCCCAGATACTATAGGTCTGTCTCTTAGAAACAGGGGTCATGCTGTTCTCTGTAGGGTTGGTTGTATTCCACTAATAACAAAGGAGCACGATGAGGCTAACTGTCCATCCTCAAGTCTAATGAACACTCATTACAGCACAATGAATATCTCCCATGAAGGTGATAATATTATTAATGATAATAATGCATGTTCTCTCCTTAGAGCATGCAGCAATTCCCCAGGCGACTGCCCCTCTGAAATACACTTTGCCCCATGCTCTGGTCAGCTTTGGTCCAGCCGGACAGTTGATCCGGATTAGTCCTGGTCTGGCCATGCAGGGAGACCCAGGGAAGGTGGAACTACACAGTCTGGAGGTACAGTTCTAGGTTAAAGGAGCAGGACAGAATCAGTACGGAGAATAGTAGGATATACAGTTGAAGTCGAAAGTTTACATACACTTAGGTTGGAGTCATTAAAACTCATTTTTTTAACCACTCCACAAATTTCTTGTTAACAAACTATAGTTTTGGGAAGTCGGTTAGGACATCTACTTTGTGCATGACACAAATAACGTATAATTCATTGTATCACAATTTCAGTGGGTCAGAAGTTTACATACACTAAGTTGACTGTGCCTTTAAACAGCTTGGACAATTCCAGAAAATGATGTCTTGGCTTTAGAAGCTTCTGATAGGCTAATTGACATCATTTGAGTCAATTGGAGGTGTACCTGTGGATGTATTTCAAGGCCTACCTTCAAACCCAGTGCCTCTTTGCTTGACATCATGGGAAAATCAAAAGAAATCAGCCAAGACCTCAGAAAAAAATTGTAGACCTCCACAAGTCTGGTTCATCCTTAGGAGCAATTTCCAAATGCCTGAAGGTACCACGCTCATCTGTACAAACAATAATACGCAAGTATAAACACCATCACGCAGCCGCCATACCGCTCAGGAAGGAGACGCGTTGTCTCCTAGAGATGAACGTACTTTGGTGCGAAAAGTGCAAATCAATCCCAGAACTACAGCAAAGGACCTTGTGAAGATGCTGGAGGAAACAGGTACAACATTATCTATATCCACAGTAAGACGAGTCCTATATCGACATAACCTGAAAGGCCGCTCAGCAAGGAAGAAGCCACTGCTCCAAAACTGCCATAAAAAAGCCAGACTACGGTTTGCAACTGCACATGGGGACAAAGATTGTACTTTTTGGAGAAATATCCTCTGGTCTGATGAAACAAAAATAGAACTGTTTGGCCATAATGTCCATCGTTATGTTTGGAGGAAAAACGGGGTGGCTTGCAAGCCGAAGAACACCATCCCAACCGTGAAGCACGGGGGTGGCAGCATCATGCTGTGGGGGTGCTTTGCTGCAGGAGGGACTGGTGCACTTCACAAAATAGATGGCATCATGAGGAAGGAAAAATATGTGGATATATTGAAGCAACATCTCAAGACATCAGTTAGGAAGTTAAAGCTTGGTCGCAAATGGGTCTTCCAAATGGACAATGACCCCAAGCATACTTCCATAGTTGTGGCAAAATGGCTTAAGGACAACAAAGTCAAGGTATTGGAGTGGCCATCACAAAGCCCTGACCTCAATCCTATAGAAAATGTGTGGGCAGAACTGAAAAAGTGTGTGCGAGCAAGGAGGCCTACAAACCTGACTCAGTTACACTAGCTCTGTCAGGAGGAATGGGCCAAAATTCACCCAACTTATTGTGGGAAGCTTGTGGAAGGCTACCCGAAACGTTTGACCCAAGCTAAACAATTTAAAGGCAATGCTACCAAATACTAATTGAGGGTATGTAAACTTCTGACCCACTGGGAATGTGAAGAAAGAAAGAAAAGCTTAAATAAATCATTCTATCTACTATTATTCTGACATTTCACATTCTTAAAATAAAGTGGTGATCCTAACTGACCTAAGATAGGGAATCTTTACTAGGATTAAATGTCAGGAATTGTGAAAAACTGAGTTTAAATGTATTTGGCTAAGGTGTATGTAAACTTCCGACTTCAACTACATGGCAGAATTGTTGTGGTGAACTAGCAGGTTCTAGGAAGAGGTCACAATCATGTAATGAATAGAGTAGGCATCAAGGAAGGGCTAAATTACTGGGAGATTAGTTTCGGTTTGGAGGAACTGTTAAGCTGTTTTTATCAGTATTGAGCTGGTGTGTGAGAAGTTTCTGTTAATGTGTTACTGAGAGGCTGTCTGTCTGTTCTGTCTGCAGATCATTCTGGGGGAAACACAGGAGCAGCAGGACATGAGAGAATTTCCTGGACCGCTGGCTAGGTATTTTACACTCTTAAACACAATATCCAAACATCCATGCTACTCAGTATGTGATGATGTATTGTCCATGCATGCAAAATAGGAGACACTGACCAAATAACCACTCCCAACAAAACTGTTCTAGAGAGAGTAAAAACAGGCACACAAAATGCATTGAAAACATGAATGTTTACTGTTATAATGGTGGCTATTAGTATTATGTGTGTATTTCTCTCAACGGGCATTTTTTCAACTCCTTCAAAGGGAAGACCTGCACAAAGTAGATGCCATCTCTTTTGCCCACCAGATGGCAGAAGCCTGCATGAAAGATGAAAAGCTACAAGACAAGGGCTCTGCCGCCCTCCTTTGGAATCTACTGGTACTGCTGTGCAGACAGAATGGAGTAGGTGTACTATATATCTCCTCACACTCTTACAGTAGGTGTCCTATAGACTGGATCTCCTCACACTCTTACAGTAGGTGTACTATATATCTCCTCACACTCTTACAGTAGGTGTACTATATATCTCCTCACACTCTTACAGTAGGTGTACTATATATCTCCTCACACTCTTACAGTAGGTGTACTATATATCTCCTCACACTCTTACAGTAGGTAAAACTATTTTTGTCTTAGCACTCTTGAAATATCACAAGTTGGCCAAGATGGTCCAAAAGTAAACTAAACGCCCACCCACATACTCATTCTAACATTACCCTATCTTTTTATCTCCCTGGATTCATTCAGCGTATCGTTGGTTCAGACATAGCAGAGCTGCTGATGAGGAACTCTCAGGGCCATGGTGGTTCAGGGGGCAGTGAATCAGAGGCCCCTACACTCATAGGTAATAGTTTTTTTTAAGCGTCTGCTAAATGGCATATATAGGTAAAGGACTCTACACCACACATACTGAGGAAGACATGTTGTTTTTTATCTATTGGACATGTTGCTATGAGTTAAAAATACATCAAACAAAGCTTGTAAATAATTGCAAATTATATCCAAGTGAGTCCTGGCCTTTTTTCACTTTTTAAACCACCCTCATAGACCTGAGTGAGGGCCCTAGTCCTGAGACAGACCCCTTGGATGGAGCAGATCTGCTGACAGGGACAGCCACTAGTGTCTGTACGCCTGAGTCCACAGAGAAGGACATGCAGGGATACACCAAGCTTCTCCTGGCTGGACGGAAGAAGGTCAGGGTGATCTCTTGAACAATATATAATAATATATTTTAAAATGGTAAAGTAATCTCCTATTTATTCTGAGATTAATAGATAGTGTCTATGATTAACACCATGGAGACAGCATAGTGATAGCTGTCTGACTAATGTTACACCAGGGCTATCCTCTTACTCCTCCAACACTGACCCCTGACCCTGTGTTCTTTCACACCACCTTCACCCCTGCCTATGCCTCTCCCATAACTCCCCCACTCCTCCCCCACACCTCATGTCTCCTCCAGATACTTCAGGCATAATGTTTGAGTTTCACAGATCTCCATCTGCTAGTGCCCCCCCCCCCCCCCGCCCCCGTCTCCCCTCCACCTACCCCATGCATCCCCGACGCTTCCCCAACTGTACCTTCACCCCTCCCTAAACCTCCTCATGCATCCCCCAAACCTCCCCTATGCCTCCCCCACGGTTCCTCCACCCTTCACTCACGTCTCCTCCACACCTCCATTATGGTTCTTTCACAGGAGGCCCTGGAGTTGGCCATGAAGAGGGGACTGTGGGGCCACGCCCTGTTCCTGGCCAGCAAGATGGACAACAGGTCCTATACCACTGTGTTGAACAGGTAAGCGCATGAGAAACATTATCTTTGAGACATTACAGTGATTTTAGAGATAATACACTATTGATTCAAGGTCAGTGATTTGTAAAGGAGAACTACAGGTATCTATAGACTGTATAAAAACAACACATCTTACAGACTACATTTGAATAAACCCAAAAGTGATATAATGTTATTGGTAATAGTTTTTTTGTCATAATCCATTTTCTCACAACATCTCGGCTCATTGTCATCGTTCTGTGTCTGGCAGGGAGGGATAGTGGGATGGGGAGGAGGATGAGGGGGCGGGGGGGTAAGGAATAGGGGGAGACTGCAGGGATGAGGAGTGAAGCTTGGGGTGAGGGATAGGGACAGGGGGAGGACTGAGGAATGCCTGGTCTCTGGGCAGATCATTGGTCTGTCTCTATTGCAGATTTATGGACCTCACGCAGGTTGTTTGCAGTTCTGTGGGCAAAACCCACATCCTCACTTACATGATCTGATGATAGGTGTCGGGGTTGTCAACATACTCAGCACACAGCGCAGTGTTACATATTAATATAGCGTTACATATTAATATGCTGTTACGTATTCATATACCGTTACGTATTCATATACCGTTACATAGTAATATACCGTTACATATTCATATACCGTTACATATTCATATACCGTTACGTATTCATATACCGTTACGTATTCATATACAGTTACATAGTCATATACAGTTACATATTCATATACCGTTACGTATTCATATACCGTTACGTATTCATATACCGTTACATATTCATATACCATTACATATTCAGTATTTCGGTAGGTATTTCTTTTTTGTAATATTAAATTACTTTTTTTTTTTTTATAAACAAAAAACATAAGCGTTTCTATTTCTGTTACCCTGAACAGGGGTGGATTTTTCCATGTACAGTATGGCCTTACATGTTCATATCTATTACATATTACTATCACATTACATATTCAGTATTTTGAATTTCCATGACGTGGGTGGTTCTATTTGCAGCACTCAGTGACAGGAACTGTGCAGGGGCGGGATTCTTTCTATGTACAGTGACCTTACATATTCATATCTATTACATATAAATATTGAATATTACATATTCAGTTTTTCCATGGCGTGGTCATCTCTATGGCAGGTTTACAGGCCAGCTAGCTCCCAGCGACCCCCTACAGACCCTGTTTCAGATGCTCTCTGGGAGGATCCCTGCTGTTTCCACGGTAAAACAATGCTTAATAAATACATAAACATACCACAGTACAATAGTTGTCTATTCTATTGTGCCCTTCCTTCCTTGTGTAATTGGTGCTGGTCTTGGCACATTTACTGTAGTTGACCAGTTCATGCTTTCAGTGGCTGTTGTGTTCATTGTACTGTAGTTGGTAATTATGCTAACAATGTACAGTACATGTATGTTGCACCAAATTGTAATATAACAATCTGGTAATAGACTGACAGTGTGTGTGTGTGTGTGTCCTCAGTGTTGTGGAAGTGACAAATGGAAAGACTGGGAGCCTCACCTGGCCGTCATGCTGTCCAATGAGACGGGAGATCCTATCACGCACCAGAAGAGCATTATTACCATGGGAGACACGCTTGGTATACACGCACGCACGCACACACACACACACACACACACACACACACACACCCCCCCCCCCCTGTTCATTTACATTTTTACATTTTAGTCATTTAGCAGACGCACTTATCCAGAGCGACTTACAGTTAGTGAGTGCATACATTTTTCATACTGTTCCTGGCCAGCAAGATGGACAACAGGTCCTATACCACTGTGTTGAACAGGTAAGCGCATGGAGAAACATTATCCTTGAGACATTACAGTGATTTTTGAGATAATTCACTATTATTTTCTCACAACATCTCGGCTCATTGTCATCGTTCTGTGTCTGGCAGGCAGGGATAGTGGGATGGGGAGGAGGATGAGGGGGCGGGGGGGTAAGGAATAGGGGGAGACTGCAGGGATGAGGAGTGAAGCTTGGGGTGAGGGATAGGGACAGGGGGAGGACGGAAGAATGCCTGGTCTCTGGGCAGATCATTTGTATGTCTCTATTGCAGATTTATGGACCTCACGCAGGTTGTTTGCAGTTCTGTGGGCAAAACCCACATCCTCACTTACATGATCTGATGATAGGTGTCTGGGTTGTCAACATACTCCGCACACAGTGCAGTGTTACATATTCATATACCGTTACATATTAATATAGCGTTACATATTCATATACCGTTACATATTCATATACCGTTACGTATTCATATACCGTTACGTATTCATATACCGTTACCCCCCACACACACACACACACATTTCTACTGGATTGTAGTGGCTGTGTTTCTATTCTCCTCAGAAAGGTTTTGTCTGAGTCCCAAATGGTACCATAGTGCACTATATAGGAAATAGGGTGCCATTTGTTACATAACCTTAGTGTTGTCTCTCCCCAGCCTCCAGAGGGCTGTCACATGCTGCTCATATCTGCTATCTGACGGCTTACGCTCCTTTTGGCGTCTACACAGCCAAGACAGAGAGACTGGTGCTTCTGGGCAACTGCAACAGGTGAGCTCAGCTGTAATATGACCCAGATTCTGTTAACGCTCCTTTCACTTGTCAACTTTCTGGGTGGTGATCCCCTCTTTCACTATTATATCTTCCTAACGAGGGGGGAATGTCCTCTGGGACTCACTGTAGAACAGCACAGCAAAATGTCTTGCAGAACAGGGATGTCATGCACCCATTTCTGAGGGGTACACACGATGGAGGTGCCGATGTGAGGGTGGATGCTCCTATGGGCATGAAAGTAATAGCTCTTGATTGCGGTAACTAATGCCACAACATAATGCTGCTATTATCGTAGCATGACTGGTATGAAAACCACTAAGTCCTACTTAAAGGCCCAGCACAGTCAAAAACGTGATTTTCCTGTGTTTTATATATATTTCCACACTATGAGGTTGGAATAATACTGTGAAATTGTAAAATTATGTTAATGCCCTTTTAGTGTAAGCTGTTTGAAAAGGCCACTTGAAATTCCAGCCTGTTTTGGTGGGATGGAGTTTTGGCCTTCCTGGTGACATCAGTTAATACAGGGTTTCCCAAACTCGGTCCTGGGGCCCCCCCTGGGTGCACGTTTTGGTTTTTGCCCTAGTTTCTATTTTACCATTTTAATTGAAAACAATCACAGTAAGGTAGTTAATTGTTACCCAGAAATTATTTGATATTGAGCTAGAAACGCCTTTTAAAGTAACTGTCCAGTGTTTCCATATTTCTATGAAATATTACATATAATTAATTAAAATATGAGTGAAATAGTTTCCCTTCCAAATGTTTTTAATTAGGTATGTTAAAAAGCAGCTTTTCTGTGTTGGAATGGTGTGGGCGTACCCTAACAACAGAATGGTGTGGGTGTATACAGGTTCTTAAAAATATTCATGCAAGAAGGCCGCTGATTGGCCAGCTCAGCCAATGAGCCAACATGACATCATGTTCTATGAGGAAATAGCAAGCATTTTATTAAACGGTCTTGTTGCGATACAAGTTTAAAGTGGAGTTTTTTAAGTGTTTATTTTCTCCAATGGATGCTTTGGCCAAAAATACGGGTATAGGACAAGTCAACAACATTATTTGGGTATGAGTTAACAGAATATTAACTTTTAAAAGTTAGATTTTTACTGGACAGTTACTTAAGCCTTCTTAAGACTTAGTCGGGAAGCTAGTAGGTAGTAGTAGTAGTCCCAATGGTAACTTTTGTATGTTTAAAAATGATGTGAGAAACTATGTCACACAACGTCTGCTAAGAACTGAATGTGTTTTCCTCCCCCACAGTCTCCCATTCAAAGAGTTTGCTCAGAATTCTGCCATTCGGTGCACAGAGTTATTTGAGTACTGCCAGAGACTTGGAGATAAATTATTCTGTATCCCCCCTTTCCAGGTAGTTAATATTCATTTTTTGTGTTTTTTATGACTAGTATGATTTGTCCATAATTTGCCAGATTTGGAACTCATAAGTCAATACAGAGTTGTGATTCCATCAGTATTTTGCTATTAAGCTTTCTCTAGGCCAGGATACAGTGAAATGATGTTTAGCTTTTTCCATGTGGCTACTGTAGGTTGTGCTGTTGTGTTGTTGTCTTGTTACAACCTGTTGTGTCATTCCCAGGTGTATAAGTTCCTGTATGCGTGTCGTCTGCTGGATGCGGGGCTGGCGTCCCAGGCCTTCCACTACTGTGAGGTGATAGGGATGTCTTTACTCAGACTGCAGGAGCCCAGCATGGTGCTGCTGGGAGAGCTTATCAAGGTAGAGCACTTTATCATGATACTCTGACATATACACATCATATGTAGCACTTCGGCGCTAGGTAGACTAGCGGTTAAGAGCGTTGGGCCAGTAACCGAACGGTAGCTGGTTTGAATCCCTGAACTGACTAGGTGAAAAATCTGCCTGTGTGCCCTTGAGCAAGGCACTTAACCCTAATTGCTCTGGATAAGAGCGTCTGCTAAATGACTAAAATGTAAAGTCATGATACATTCATGCACACCTATCTATGCACTTCCATACATACGCTAAACACAGTCTGCAGGGAGAACTTATATAAGTAGCGTACTCTGACATGTACTGTATGTATCATACACTCATTTTATGCCATATTGCATTCCTAGTATCCAATCACTTCAGGGCCTGTATTCATAAAGCGTCTCAGAGTAGGAATGCTGATCTAGGATCAGTTTTCCCTTTTAGGTCATAATGAAACCATTACATGGACAGGAAGGACCTGTTCCAGGGGGTACCAGATTAGGCACTAATCTACTGTAAAGGAGTGCCTTAAAAACACTAGCGGTGTGTGTGTGTTTGCTCAGCACTTTCCCTGTGTGTGTGTCCTCTCCTCCCAGCTGGCAGAGCGGCTGAAGCAGTGTGAGGGAATGGGACAGCTCAGTGACACAGCTGACAACAGGCCTGGACAGGAGCCTGACTGGCTAAAGCAGCTGAGATACAGACAGCAGGGAATACAGGTGACCACACCACAAAGCATCATAATTTTACCCGTCATCTCTCTCTCTCTCTCTCTCTCTCTCTCTCTCTCTCTCTCTCTCTCTCTCTCTCTCTCTCTCTCTCTCTCTCTCTCTCTCTCTCTCTCTCTCTCTCTCTCTCTCTCTTGTCACATTTTCACATGTTCCTCTGTTTGTGTTGGAGATGATGATTACGTATTTACTATAGTCCAGCTGGCAAGACTAGACTCAGGTTTTTAACTTGCCACAGTCAGCACAATGGTTGACCTTACATAGACACTGGTAACATTGTTATTACTACATTATAACCCCTTCGTACCATTCAAATGATATAGTTCAAACAATACCAGACCCTTATGATCTTAATTGTGTCTTTTTTGTCTCTTCCAAAACATTCTCTACACATTATGATGCTATGGTTAAAACATATGTATTTACTTAGATGGGGAGCAATGGTTGTAGTGATACATACCAGTCACCAGCAGAAGGGAGTGCATTGGCCCATGAGGAGAGCAGAGTGTATTCAGGTAAACCTACAGTCCCAGATCATTATTTCAATGGACAATTAATAACAATTTATTGGACTCATATAGCACTTTTCCAGATGATCAAAAGCGTTTACATAGTAAGGGGGAACTCACCTCATCCACTTGGGTGATGTAGGGCCAACATTTGTGCCACATATAAGCTGAACAGACATACAGTATTTCTCTGCTCTGTGTCTGTATGGTGTGGTACCCTCTTATTCCACCTGGGCGTAGTGTCTCATGTATCAGAGTTGCATGATGACTCATCAGAGGGCTCGTCCTATCAACCAGTTGCACAGTGTTAGAACCATGTCCCTGGTCAAAAGTAGTGCATTTGATAGGGAATGGGGTGCCATTTGGAACGCACTCCAGTGTTCTAATGTTTGTCTTCACTCCATTGATTTCGCTGTAGAATCGGACACCGGTGACCTTTCTGTGAGGGGAGATGACCAGGGACCGGATGCTGAATTATTCTACCACAAAGCAGCAGAAGAGCAACAACAACAGCACGTGCAGGCACAGCAGATCAACACCCAGCCTCCTCTGCCAGTTATGGCTTCTAACACTCAGCCTGCAGTGCCCCTAGTGGTGGGAGGCCACTACAGTTACCACTACACAGACACTGCCCAGCCTCAGCCTCAGACTTCATCTCAGCATCCTACACTGGACTGTCCTCCTTTAGAAAAGGAAGGTGAGACAACGGATGAGGGCTCTGGTTTTGATTGATCAAACATACTAATGATTCAACCCTGTTTCTGGTGGTTATAATGAAACATGCTCATTTAATTTCACTCCTCTTTACTCATTTTGTGAATCTTCTTACATGTTTCTGTTGTTAACTGTGATATGAGGACCTCATGCTTTGATTTCATTGTATTGTTCTAGGGGGTGATCCATCTGCTGGCACAGGCATGGTGAGTCCTCAGGAGAGTTTTATTGGCTACCAAACATACATTAGATGTATATACACAAACATACCCCCTATTGGGGCATACAAATAAGTGGACATGTCAAATTACAGTCTGTATATCTGTCTGTCCTATGCAGATAGGGGTCCATGTGAATGCTGGCATGATGCCGGTGGCAGAGTATAGTCAGCAGTATGGCCAGGAGTATGGTTATGGAGGTCAGCAGGCATGGCAGCAGGGAGGGCACCAGGCAACCATCACGCAGGAGGGCAAGGCCTCAGAGCCGGACAAAATCCAACCAAAACAGGTGGGCGGAGCCTGAAGCCTGTCATCATCTCGACAGCATCAGATAAGAACCAGAGTTTTGTTTTAATAAGACTCTCTCTCTCTCTCTGTGTGTGTGTCTCCATCTCTCTCTCTCTCTCTCTCTCTCTCTCTCTCTCTCTCTCTGTGTCTCTCTCTGTCTGTGTGTCTCTCTGTGTCTCCATCTCTCTCTCTCATTCTCTCTCTCTCTGTGTGTGTCTGTGTCTGTGTCTGATCAGAGCACCAAGTCAGGGTGGTTTAGCAGCTGGTTCAAACACAAACCCAAAGAGGAGCAAAGTGAGGCGCCTCAGGATGCCGACTCAGCTGACCCAGTTCCCACTATGGTAAGGGTCAAGCAGACCTACTTAACTCTTACCTAGCTGTTAGATGGGGGACATAACAGCATGCACTTTCAAGTCAGTGATCTCAAGTTTAGGTTTTGTAGTTTACCGTCCAACAAATTATGTCGATAGACATAATAACATTTTGATGATGATGGGAAAGAAAATTATAAACTTAGTTGAAAACAATATTTTAAAATTAAAAGGATTCTTCAAATTAACCACTAAGGCCGACAGTTTTGGCTATTATTATTATTATTATTATGATATTCAGAGCATTTGACCTCCTTGTACTTCTCATAAGACCCATTGGAGGTGGTGACGATGTTTAGTTTGAATGTAGACCCATTGAACCTTTTTAATGGAGGTCAACCACTAGCTCTAAGTAAGGTATGGTATTTGCTGTCGGTCAACCAACTCTTTCCAGTTCTATGGCAATGTTTGCAACACATTCTGCATAAATACTGTTTCTGTAGTTTAGCTATTTTGTTGTCCATAGCATCTGAATTGTACAGCTATGATCCATAAGCTACAATGATAAAGCATAAGCTACAATGATACAATGCATAATAACCATATGTATCATAAATGGTAGAGGTTTAACTACTACTTTCCTGAGAGCATTGTATCATGCAAGTTAGATTAAAACATAGATTTTTTAAAAGTTGCTCTAAATATGCCAATAAGTCAAGTCACAAGTAATTCAAATTATTGTATAGTTTTTTGTTATTAAGTGATTTCAAAATGTTTGAGACTAACTGGCTGATAAATTGTTGTAAATTATCAATGCAAAATATAGCCTTCCAATTGTCAAAGTAAAGCTTTTCAGAAACAGCCTAAATACATGATTACATAATCAGAAACAAAAGTAGCTTTCCTTGTGTCAAAGACGGTAAACTCTCAAAACTCACCACGGAGAAGCTATTGACAATCCCAGTCATATCAGTCTATGTATGCCCCTTTAACTGGAGGTTCTGAGAGATAAGCAAACCTAACGCGTCCTAGTGCCGTAAAATGAATTCAATGTAAGGTAGTTGACTTTCCGAGTGATGACCCCTTAGTACAGCTGTAGGATCTTCATTTGATCACTCTTTTGTTGCAGATGAGCTTTGTGATTTCCATAAATTCATCGAAAATCCGCAATAACACAGGTTATATTAGCAGTATTGCACTTTTCATGTAGCCTACTTTTGTCCAGCTAATAGCCTAATCACCGATCAAGCAACATTATGGACTAACGTTCGAATACTGTTGCTGCAGGATTATTTTGCTAAGGCAATACTTGTCAAATTAAGATCCTACATCTGTATCCTTAGTGCCCCTCGGGAATGTATTCGTCGGTTACATCATTGTGCAATAGTAGGTCAGTGGGTCTTGGGCGATAATGTAACATAATGTATGTGTATTTCCTCAGGAGACGCCTCCCACTTCCCTATTCTCTTTCCCACCCCCGCCCACTACCAACATCCCTGCAGCCAATTTTCCTACCCAGCCTGCGTCTACTGGTATCAACCCCTTTTCTCGAAAAGCGGGTGAATAACGGTGCGGAATGCATTGGACAACACATAGACTCAAGTTTGTATGTTTTGCTGCAACCACCCACCATACATCATACACCTGTACACATACACAAATCATTAATGATAATACAATATTTGTGGTGACAATCTTTTGGTTCATAGCCAATAACTGACATGTAGCCTAATCAATGCATGTTTTTGCATGCATTGATTACGTTACAGAGGCATGTTTTTGGTGACAAGCATTTACATGGTTGCAAGAACAGAGCTGTAGGACCATTCTGCATTGCCATTCACATTGATATTTAATGGATGACTGCATGTTGGAACTGCAGAAATGCAGGAATAATGTGCAGAACAGTGTCCAATCCTCTATGCCCTGTAGATAAAGGCTTTTTAACTTTAAAACCCATCTGGAGTGCCTGGAACTTCGACTCTTCAAACAATTTTACAATCTTTTGTTGGATTTTTCCTGTTTTTCTGATTTCTGATTCCCCACTCCAGAGCAATGGTGGATGTTTTTTTGGGATACCTGTAGTGCTCCCGATACATTGTCTCCTTTCGGGCGTTTAAAAAAAAATGGCACCCCCATCCTCCCATCCTCTGTGACTGCCTCTTGAACCAGACATATTCAGGCTGAAAGACAACTGTATGCTTGCCTAGGCTAACATGAAGTGAGGAATTTTGACTGTTGCTTCTTTTGTAAAGAAATACCCAACATGCGCCACCATTTAGTTATAGTGCTTCCATTGATAGTGTTAGTGCTCCTATTAATAGTGTTAGTGCGCCCAGTGATAGTGAAATTTAATGTTAGAGCACACCAGTGAGTGATTGTCTGACATTTGGTCTGCTGTAGGATCCTTTCAGTGGCTCAAGTCTTTAAACAGCAGAATGAGTACAACAGAGAAATACAAATGGTTTTATAACAACGCTTTTTTGTGAATATATGATTTTCTCAATGAGAAAACAGTGCTCATGTGATATTTGACCTGAGTGCTATTGTATATGAGATATAACCTTGATTTCTATGAGTGTCCCTCCCTTTTATCATTATCTAAACTATAGATGATATGGTTAACTTGTTTAAACTATGGTTTATAACTGTCATATTATTCACAAACAAGTTGTATGCAACTTGTTGCTAAATCATTGCTGCCCTTTGAACTTTGAATCTGGAGCAAAGTATGCATTACAACCATTGCACTACCCTGCATAACCCTGACAAACTCTGCAACACATACCGTAAAAAAAAAACTTTAACCAATCTAATAATACTTTTTAAGTACCGTACATTCTGTCATTAATCTAGATAGGTTGCAGCCAAGGAAATGTTTTTCCTATGTCCAACATGAGTGTGATATTCACACATGCATACGGGCACACACACACTAGCACACGCACTCTACACACACATACATTGTAATAATAATATAATAATATGCCATTTAGCAGACGCTTTTATCCAAAGCGACTTACAGTCATGCGTGTAATATTATTGTATGGTGGTATTATACATTTTGTATTGTAAATATGTAGTGCTGTAATAATGTTATATGATGTACTGTTTTATCTTTTGTTTTATGTGTGGTGCAAGTGCCTTAATGTGTTTGGACCCAAGGAAGAGTAGCTACTGCCTTGGCAGGAACTAATGGGGATCCCTAATAAATACAAATACAAATATGGTGTTTATGTCTGTATGCAGGTCAGCAGCTGGGCTAGAAGTGGGCTCATGTCACAGGTAAGATGTCTGGTCAATAAATAAACGTAAATCCAGGACACTCCAATTAGTATGATAGGTTACGTTTCGAATGGTATGTATTCATTTGTGGATGTCCATCATCCATTTCATATGATATGTTACGAATTGCAATTTGTACTATATGTTACGAATTTGCAAAAAGTATGATGTGTTACAAATTCCAATTTGTTGTCGCTAACATTAGCTAGGTGGCTAACGCTAAAATTAGCTAGGTGGCTAACATTAGCTAGGCTAGGGGTTAAGGTTAGGGTGAGGAGTTAGCGTGTTAGCTAACCCTAACTTTAACCTAAGTAGTTGCAAAGTAGTAAGTAGTTGCAGATTAGCTATAATTGTCTGTGATGAGATTCGAACACACAACCTTTGGGTTGCTAGATGTTCGTGTTATACGTCTACCCATCCACCCCGACCAACAACCCTACTTTCATTTTGTTGCCTTAAGTAACCTTCTATGTAACCATACCAAATGTAACACAGGGAGCCAGTATGAAAAAAATAACATTAAAATAATGTATGCACTCACTAACTGTAAGTCGCTCTGGATAAGAGCGTCTGCTAAATGACTAAAATGTAAATGTAAATGTAACATATCATACAAATTTTAGTGTCCCGGATTTTACTATGTTACGTCTAGTGTATCAGACCAGGCTGGGTCAACAAGCAAACTCTCACTACAAAAACCTGTTTAAATAGATTTAACTGGTCTTACAGTAACTGTACTGGTTTTACAGTAACTGTACTGGTCTTAAAATAACTGTACTGGTCTTACAGTAACTACTGGTTTTACAGTAACTGGTCAGTTTAAAAAAGATTTAACTTGTCTTACTGTAACTGGTCTCATTACAAAAGCCAGTTTAAAATAGCTTTAATGGGTTTTACAGTAACTGTACTGGTTTTACAGTACATTGACAGTTTAAACATAGCTTTAGCTGGTCTTTACAGTACTTCATTGATTTACTATTCCCTTCTTGCTTTTTGCAGGATTTGTAATGCCACAATCATGGAATAACCCTGACATATATAGATGTCTCATATAAAATAGCACTCAACAGCACTCAGGAATAACCCTGACCCAGAAGAGAAGCACAACAAAATCAACCGAAGGACAGCATACTGACCCCTTAAATGTCTGAACTGGGATTGTATGAATGTATGAACACTGTGCAGGACCCCAATGCCAACCAGGCCACAACCCACATATCTATTCTCGGATGCCCTTTCAGCCGGACAGTATTTTGACATCATGTGTTGAGTTGGGAGGCTACGCAGGCAGGCAGGGGGAGTGAGTCGGCTTTTAAGGGCTCAGTGTTCACTGAGAGAACTAAACAGCTGAGATCTGGTTCCCCTGAGCTAACAGAGGGGGGAAATGGCCAGCATCGACTCTGCAAAGTAGTGGAAGTAGTAAAGCTGGTCAAGTAAATCACAAGTAAAGGATCCAAGAAAAGTCAAGTCCCAAGTTATATTTGGAGTAAGTCTCAAGTCTCATTGGTCATATTTTGTAGCTATATGCAACAATGACTCATGTTTAGATATACCTATCTTTGTCTAATCATTAATTTCAAGTCACAAGTTAATTTCAAGTCCTAAAGTCCAAGAAAGGTTATGTAGAAAGGGTCAAATCTCAAGTCAAGTCCCAAGTTGTGAATTGTAAGCTCAAATCAAGGCAAGTCCTAAGGTTTTATGGACCAAGTCTCAAGTCCTTGGTAATTCAGTATCTTCTAGACGTTTGCGTTAACTCATATGTAGTCACCAACACATTCTATACATAAAATAACACTTTTATGACAAACTCCAATGCAAGCTTGTAAATCATGTTGTGTGATAAGGCAAGATATCAATTTCTAGCTGTATATATTTTTATTCAGTAGGACCATATTATCTTAGGTGTCGTCGATTGCATGAATTATTCTGATATCTTGACCTTGAAAGGCCTTTATGTTGGTTATTGGCTGAAAGATTGGTGCACTGTAGTTGCTGCCTAGCTTGCAAATTATAATTCAAAGTTTAATTAAGAGTTAATAGCTGATGATGCTAACACTGTATAGTGTAAACAATGTGATCATTGTGATTATATGATAGTTGCTGGTTGAACATAGATCTATACAGGACCTTCTTTTCAGCAGGTTCTGTATAGGTGGATGTTCTTCTCCTCACTAGACGTCAAGATTGAGACTGATTTTAATAGATCATCGTCTATGGTTGTTTCTCAATTGTAAAAAAATCTGTCCTCTCCTTGTCTGCTTTCCTTCACCTGCACTGATTACTGTATATTATATTACATTATTAGATATACCCTAATGTCTTGTTGTTAAGATGAATGCATTACTGTAAGTCGCTCTGGTCGAGGGCCTGCTATATGACAAAGATTTAAATGTTCACAGAAATGTACTTTGTGTACAGAAAATGCAATGCGTTAAAAAAATCCACAACAAAAACAGGGACATGGAATAAACAGTTAAAACAGACACAGGCCTACACAACATCCATGGAAAACTCTTGACAGGTGAAAGTTCATCATTAGGCCAGCTGTCTCCTTTCACCTGGTCAGTTCTTTCAGAGGACAGAGTTTGTAGAAAAAAAATTAGAGAGAAAGAGAGTCTGTTGTAATCCTGGTTACAGGATAGATACCCTAGGTATTGTGTATAGGACCGAACGTTTTTATTTAGTTTGTTTATAACTCACACTAAGGCATGGGTCAGGGCCCCCCTGGGAAATGTTCTGGTTACGTCAGGAGTGGTAACGTGACGTCAGAGAGGATTTCCCTTTGGTGACGTTGGATGGTGCATAGTAGTGGAGTAGTACAGGGTTGGGATATACTGTACCTCAATCAGGACACCAACCAGACCCTATTGATCAGCCAGAGCCTGTATAATGAGGCCAAACAGCCAGGACCACAAGGCCAAACTTTTTCTTAGGGGTATGTGCCACAGTATCAGCCAAAACATAGATCTGGCACACCCCAAAATATGTGTAAAGGTGCTGACTAATGGAGAATAAACTACACTACTGGTCAAAAGTTTTAGAACACCTACTCATTCAAGGGTTTTTCTTTATTTTTACTATTTTCTACATTGTAGAATAATAGTGAAGACATCAAAACTATGAAATAACACATATGGAATCATGTGCAAAGCTGTCATCAAGGCAAAGGGTGGCTATTTGAAGAATCTCAAATATAAAATATATTTTGATTTGTTTAACACTTTTCTGGTTACTACATGATTCCATATGTGTTATTTCATAGTTTTGATGTCTTCACTATTATTCTACAATATAGAAAACAGTAAAAATAAAGAAAAACCCTTGAATGAGTAGGTGTTCTAAAACTTTTGACCGGTAGTGTATATACAAATAAAAAAAAGTCACACACTCTGTAAACTGTATTCTGTGACACACATACCCTTGTGGAACAGTCTGGCCCTGGCCACATGGCCTGTTCCCAGGTACCATTAACAGGATATTATTCCATAGTGGTATTCTAAACTAGCCTAGTGGATTCATTATATCACAAGAGGGGATATGCGATATGCATAATTATTTTTATTTTATTTCTCTCTCAGAGAACAATGCCTTGTCTTTGTATTTGAATGTACTGTAAATGTAAGAACATTCCTTCAGGGTATTATCAATGTTTTTAATTTAATTTAATCAGAGTTTGTATAGACAAGTATAGGTCCAGAAGCCACTGTGCAAACATGTATTATATATTTTATGTAAGTAATCTATGGCCTTAGTAATTTGTATATGGTTTGCTTAATACAGAAACCTATGCATTAAATCTCTCAGTTATGTTTCACAATAAATATTAATTAACAAGTGTTTTAATGAACTTTGGTTTGATACACTTATAAGTGTTATTCAATCATGTTACTATATCTATTTATGATAGACAATTATTTGCCACTGTGTTTTACAGAAATATATTGCGGTTAAGGCCCAGCGAAACTGAATCTTGTGAAAATTGAAATTTACATGGGAAGAGCCCGTCCATAATTGAAATGTCATACGATGCCTTTCAAGCAGGGGTGAAGCATTTCGCAATACGCCTCGTCCCATCTCCTTTTACCATTAGTCAACTCTCCTGGCTCTAGGGCTGGGAATAGTGACCCAGTGTCCAGCCAACGTGTTCTGGCCCCCACCCATTACACTGGCAGCCTCAGGATGTGTCCCAAATGAACACTATTCCCATTTTTATACTTCAGTGCTACTTTAGTAGTGCACTATACACTGAGCGTACAAAACATTAGGAACACCGTCCTAGTATTGAGTTGCACACCCTTTTGGTCCTCACTTCATTGGGGCATGGACTCTACAAGGTGTCAAGCATTCCACCGGGATGCTGTCCCATGTTGACTCCAATGCTTCCCACAGTTGTGTCAAGTTCGCTGGATGTCCTTTGGGTGGTGGACCATTCTTGATACACATGGGAAACTGTTGAGTGTGAAAAACCCAGCAGCGTTACAAACCGGTGCGCCTGGCACATACTACCATACCCCATTCAAAGGCACTTAAATCTTTTGTCTTGCCCATTTACCCTCTGAATGGCACATTATACGCAATCCATGTCTCAATTGTCTCAATGCTTAAAAATTATTCTGTAGCCCTTTCCTGCAGTCAAATGACCAAATCACCCTCTTGTGGCCTCATGGATGGAATGTTATTCATATTTTTCATAATTTAATAATTAATAAACATTATATATATATATATATATATATAAAAAAACTGGTTTGTTATATTTCAGTCTTTTGCGATGTATATAAAGTGCAAACTCAACATTGAATACATTTCAACTCTATATCTGACATGTTACAGGTGTCTTCTTTTTTAAGTCCATAACCAAGTGTGTGAGGTGAATACTTTTGTTTCAAAGTAGATTTGTTTAAGACTACCAAGAAACACTGTGTGAACCTGATTTAGCCCACTGCAGTAAAAGGTTAACCTGTCTCCTCCCCTTCATCTACACTCATTGAAGTGGATTTAACAAGTGACATCAATAAGGGATCATAGCTTTCACCTGGTCAGCCTATGTCATGGAAAGTGCAGGTGTTCCTAATGGTTTGTCCACATCAAGCTGCCTCACGCTACAGAAACAGGAGATAGGCACCTGCTCCTATGAGCCGTTTCGGCTGGCACAAATCAAGGCTCTTGCTAGGCTACTGAGGCTGCCAGTGTAACGGGTTCCAGGACACGTTGGCTGGACACTGGGTCACTATTCTCAGCCCTAGAGATTGGAAAGACAGCAGCTAGTAAGATTCCCAGCCAAGTCACCGGTCTGGACCACATCTCGACAGTGAAAACCATCCCTCATTCCTGATTTTGTTGTTTCACATCAACAATGGACTAATGAAACAAATACCAAAAGTTCGTTTTTGTGTGGAGTTTTCCTTTAATGAGATAGATTGTGGGTAGGCGATAGGCTAGTGTCCTATCCAGAGGGTGTTGTTTATCAAGCTGACTCACGCTACCGAAACAGGAGATAGGCACCTGTTACTATGACCCGTTCCGGCCCGCACAAACCAAGGCTCGTGCTAGGCTACTGAGGCTGCCAGTGTAATGGGTGGGGGCCAGGACACGTTGGCTGGACACTGGGTCACTATTCTCAACCCTAGAGCCAGAGAGACAGGAGAGACAGCTGCTAGTAGGATTCCCAGCCAAGTCACCGGTCTGGACCACAGCTCAACAGTGAAAACCATCCCTCATTCCTGATTTTGTTGTTTCACATCATCCTAAAGAAGGCGTGGCGAAACGTGGCTTTTTAAATAGATATATAAAGTGGCCTACATGTGCTGGATGACATAGGAGATAGTCTTGCATTTGACTTTTCTCCATGTGTTAAAGGTGGGGACACTGACTTTTGGTAGTTACCTGTACGTTGTGCCTTATGTCATGTCTACTGTACTGTGACTTGAACTGTAAATTAACGTGTGTACATTGAAAGTATGTGTGTGGTAATGGTATTTTACTACTTAAGTACTACTTTAGTAGTGCATAATATAGGGAAAAGGGTGCCATTTGGGACACACCCTAAAACACCCTAACTCAGTGGCCTTGTGGTTAGCGTGTCCACCCTGATATTGGAAGGTTGGGAGTTTGATTCCCAGCGGAGTCATACCAAAAATGGTAAAAATGAGACCCGATGTGTCTCTGCTTGGCACTCAGCATTAAAGGAAAACTATTTTGTTATTTGTTTCAGTAGTCCATTGTTGACATTAGTCGTTCCCCATATGATGCATTTTTCATCATATGATGCTGCGTTTTGCATCATATAATGCAAAATGCATCATACGGGATGATTTCTGTATTTTAAAAGTTACAAATCTTGAAAGCTTGATTGCTGACAAGCAAAATATTTTGGGACTATGTCAACAATGGACTAATGAAACAAATACCAAAAGTTCGTTTTTGTGTGGAGTTTTCCTTTAATGAGATAGATTGTGGGTAGGCGATAGGCTAGTGTCCTATCCAGAGGGTGTTGTTTATCAAGCTGACTCACGCTACCGAAACAGGAGATAGGCACCTGTTACTATGACCCGTTCCGGCCCGCACAAACCAAGGCTCGTGCTAGGCTACTGAGGCTGCCAGTGTAATGGGTGGGGGCCAGGACACGTTGGCTGGACACTGGGTCACTATTCTCAACCCTAGAGCCAGAGAGACAGGAGAGACAGCTGCTAGTAGGATTCCCAGCCAAGTCACCGGTCTGGACCACAGCTCAACAGTGAAAACCATCCCTCATTCCTGATTTTGTTGTTTCACATCACCCTAAAGAAGGCGTGGCGAAACGTGGCTTTTTAAATAGATATATAAAGTGGCCTACATGTGCTGGATGATGTAGGAGATAGTGTTGCATTTGACTTTTCTCCATGTGTTAAAGGTGGGGACACTGAATAAATGCAATCAAATCAAATCAAATGCATTTATAAAGCACCTTTTACATCAGCAGATGTCACAAAGTGCTATACAGAAACCCAGCCTAAAACCCCAAACAGCAAGCAATGCAGATGTAGAAGCACGGTGGCTAGGAAAAACTCCTTAGAAAGGCAGGAACCTAGGAAGAAACCTAGAGAGGAACCAGGCTCTGAGGGGTATTTTATGGTGGAAAACTCTCAAACCAAGGCTTGTACAAGGCTACTGAGGCTGCCAGTGTAGGGCGGGGGCCAGGACACGTTGGCTCGACACTGGGTCACTATTCTCAGCCCTAGAGCCAGAGAGACAGGAGAGACAGCTGCTAGTAAGATTCCCAGCCAAGTCACCGGTCTGGACCACATCTCAACAGTGAAAACCATCCCTCATTCCTGATTTTGTTGTTTCACATCATCCTAAAGAAGTTGTGGCGAAACGTGGCTTTTTAAATAGATATATAAAGTGGCCTACATGTGCTGGATGATGTAGGAGATAGTGTTGCATTTGACTTTTCTCCATGTGTTAAAGGTGGGGACACTGAATAAATGCAATCAAATCAAATCAAATGCATTTATAAAGCACCTTTTACATCAGCAGATGTCACAAAGTGCTATATAGAAACCCAGCCTAAAACCCCAAACAGCAAGCAATGCAGATGTAGAAGCACGGTGGCTAGGAAAAACTCCTTAGAAAGGCAGGAACCTAGGAAGAAACCTAGAGAGGAACCAGGCTCTGAGGGGTATTTTATGGTGGAAAACGCTCAAACCAAGGCTTGTACAAGGCTACTGAGGCTGCGAGTGTAGGGCGGGGGCCAGGACACGTTGGCTCGACACTGGGTCACTATTCTCAGCCCTAGAGCCAGAGAGAGAGAGACAGCTGCTAGTAAGATTTGGCTACTGGGGGGGGACACTGACTAAATGCAATCCTGTGTTGTCATGTGAGAGTATTTCATGGGTAAACAAATAAGATGGCAACAATGCTGATAATTGTAAAGTAAGTTCCACAATGGAAAATGCACAAAACACTTATGAACAAAATGGACATAACTATGGAAAAGTTACTCTGAATTTATAAAAAGGCATATTGCTATATGTAATCCTGTGTTGTCACGTGAGAGTGTTTTATGGGT